CAGACTCTCCAAAGACAGACCAGAATGTTCCTTTCAGCAGTAAACTGAAATACATTTTCACACGTGGTTACTCACACCACCCTCAAAAACAAAACAAACCCTCTTCCTGCCGCCTCAGGCCATATCCCGACTGTCTCCAGCGCCTTGCTTCCTTGTTAGCCTGGCCTTCCAGGCTGGCTGCATAAAGCAATGGAGTTGAGATTTATTTATTCATTCAAATGTTCAGTGTGTTTTTCTTGCACCTATATTTTGGGGCAAACGACTGTTCTCTCTGGCAGAGAGAAAAACAGGCCCAGCTCCTTCTTGCCTGTGGTGCTGACTGGCCAGTAAGAGGGGCGGTGGGCATTGACAAATAATCATATGAATTCCCACACACTTGGTAATTATTAAACTACAAATAATTCAGACCTTGACTCGAACCCCAAAGCTGCCATTTACCAGTCAGCTTCTTGGTGGTAAAGCTGGGATAATAACATGCACCTTGTAGGTTAGCCGAGAAGCCTAAGTGAAGGTGCCTCGAGGAATGCAGGGTGGAGCCCAAAGCACCCACCCGGGGGCCATGCTTCTGTCCAGCACCTGTTTGTTGTTAAAAACCCGCCAGTCACCTTCTCTCTGCAGGAGGAAACTGGTGGCCACTCCCTGGCAGCCAGGTCTCACCTTTCATTAGGCAGGGATAGTAAGAACTCATGGAAGGGCCCCGTTACCACTGTGGGAATGGGCTGGAGAGAGACTTGTTCACCCTGTGGCATCAGGGAGGGCCATGTGGAAGCATTTGAGATGTGTTCTCAAACTTTGGAGAATAGCAGAAAAACTGCAGGGAATTGCTCAAAATTCAGCCTCATGACCTTAGCCCTATACGATTCTGATTCATTGAGTCCAGGCGGGGCCTGGGCACCTGCATTGACACACACCAGGGATATCTCTCAGCTCACCTAAGAAGCTTTGAAGAATTGGGTGGGGTAGATGTTAAGGCTGGGGAGGAGAGTGTGGAGATGACGGATGAGGGAGATCTGGGGGGTAGGAACAGAGGCTGCAAGTAGGTAGGCAGGGCTGAAGGGGCCTCTTCTCTCCCTCACACATCAGCGCACCCTCCACTTGCTGGGTCTCACCCAAAGCCCATCTCACCCTGAGGCTCTGGCAGACTCACCCTCCCTATACACCCCTGCTTGCTCTGTCCCCCAAGGCTTCAATGTCATGGCTCTCTCTTCTCTTTCCTGTTAACTTTGTCCTAGAGTGTGGGAGGGTAGCTCTGTCTAGATATTTTCTTCCTTCACTTTCCTCTCCCTTCTCTTCTGCCCCCCCCTCACTTCTGTCTCTCACTTTCAGTTATGAAGAATTTATTGCACTTGAGCAGCCTTGTACTAACCACCTTGGGGTGACCATAGAGGAAGGCGGCCTTGCACCAGGCTGGGGAGCTGGCTGGATAGCAGAAGCTCAGCCGTACCTTAGACCCACTGGGCCAGAATCTGCCCAGGGACTCCACCCACCACTTCCAGCTTTGGAGATGGAGAAGGGGCCCCAAGCCAAGGAAGGCCAGAAACTGGAAAAGGCAAGGAAATGGATTTCCCTTTAAGCCCTTGAGAAGGAAGCAGTCCTGTCAACATTTTTTGGTTAGAGCCTAGCAAGAGCCACCTCAGACTCTGACCACCAGACCGCAAGGTAAGATGTCTGTGTTGTCTCAAGCCACTCAGTCTGGTCATTGTCTCAGCAGCCACAGGAAACCCATGGTGGTCAGGAACCTTGTTTTTGGCTTCAGCTAGACAGGGTTCATGTCGAACCTGCTTCCTACCTGTGTGGCTCTGGGCTAGTTGCTGGGCTCTCTGAGTCTTGGTTGCCTATTCTCAGGGCTGATGTGAGGTTAAAACAGAAGCGTTTGTGCTCAGCAGGGCACCTGGTACTAATAACTAGACTGTGCTCTTGATCCGATGTTGCGCTACCTGGTCTCTCACCCCAGCAGGCCTGGGACCGCAGGCACAACACTGCTCCTCCTCTCGTTGTGAAGCCCTGGTTCAGTCACACCTGGCCACTTCTGAGCCTGCAGCAATGCAGGTGCCGCTGATATAGTGTGTGCTAAAGTGCAAGGCAGCAGCTGCCTGTGGAGGTCAAGGTCGCCTTCAAGGCGCAAATGGGTCCCGGAGTCCTGGAGTCAGGCAGCAGGTGACTGATGACAGACACTTCTTGTACTTGTCAGAGCCCTTGGGAGGCTCCAAGACCTTTACCCCAGCCAGCCGCATCTGGGTGGAGTAACTGTGGGGAATAACAAAAGTCTTCCTGAGTTGGCCTGCCCGTCCGTCACCCCATCTAGGATGGATCGGATGGGGAGGCCACCACCACCATCCTCAGCATCGCTGCATCCTTACAAACACTTCCTGAGAACTAGCTAGGCCTGGACCTCACAAAGACCGCTGGTTGCCCACTATGCAATTTCTCAAGGTCACAGAACCAGGCTCTGGCACCTCAGGAAATTTACCTCCAAAGTCGCCTCTGTTCTTAACCCCCATCCTGTGACCATGAGGTTGGTGCCATGTGTTGGAGGCCTTGCCAGGTGCTGCTCACCCAGGGCAGACCCAGAGCCCTCCCTGCAGTGACTCCGAGGCTGCCTGGCCCCCTGGGAACTAGTGGGGACCCCAAGGTCTTGTGGCTATGGACTCTACTTCCCTCAAAAAAGGCCCAGGAAAGGCCCCAGCGCTCAGGGCCCAGGTTTCTGGAGCAGATGTTTATGCTGGGAGCAGATAGGGATGTCCCAGGCTCAACCCACACTGTTGGGGTGCCATCCCCTGGAGGGGGGTCATCTGCCTTCACGAATGCTATCACGGGGCCTGAGAGAGCAAGAAGTGGGTTCAGGTGACAGGCCTGGCCAGATATAAGTCCTTATGTCTTTCCAGGCCAGAGGGAGCTCCAGAGGTGGGCTCTGGTCAATCCTGGGAGGTCAACCCACCCCCAGGGCTTGGGCCTCTTCACCCCACAGTCAGTTCCCCGCACTGCTCAGCAGTAATTCCAAGAGTCCACCACTCTGGGGCTAGGTTTGTAGACAGACACTTGCATGGGGTGGGGGGGTGACAGGCCGGAGCCTTCTCTTGGGGTGCTGTTTTTATGAAAAAAACCTTTTAATTAGTTGAGGGGGAGTTTTGGGGGAGTCAAAGTGTTGGGGCCTCAAGTACCCAGAAATCACAGCCTGATAACTGGTATCATCTGCATGTTTTCAGTTAAAGATGAAAGCCTGGCATCCAAGCAAAATAGCTTGGGCTCTTTTTTCTCCTCTGAGTGGGCATTTCATGGAGACCCTGGGCTCAGCTGATTCTAGTAAAACTGAAGTCTGCTTCATCCTCCTGTCTGCAGCCCTAGAAGCCCTGTAGGGAGGTAAGGTGCATGCAGACTGCTGGGTGAGCAGCCTGCAGACAGTTTGTGAGTCCTGGAGGGTGGGGGATGCAGTGCCACCAGTGGTTCCTGCAGGTGTAGACAGTGGTGGTTTAGACTGCCTAGGGTTGGGGGTGGGGTGTGTGTGTGTGTGTGTGTCTTTCTCTCTCTCTCTCTCTCTCTCTCTCTCTCTCTGGTCTGTAGAGAGAATCAGAGAGGCTCCCTTTGGCTGTTGCGTCCAGGGGGTAAGCAGGCACTTACCTCTAACCTGCTCTTCCAACCCAGCAAACAGCAGGCAGGGCCAGCCTCCTGGCTCAGAAACAGCATCCGTGCTTGCATGTCCACTGCTGTTCTCGGGTGAGATGCAGCTCTTTGTGCAACTGAGATGCTGAACAGGGCCTGCTTGGGGGGCTTTTCACTTGGGACCCCTAGCAATACTACACCTGCACATCCACAGAAACCCTGGTAGGTGGCTGTGGGCTTCCTGGCCCTGGCCCTACCAGCAGCTTCCATGGAGACCCCCTCAAAGGAGGAGGTGAAGCCAAAGTAATACAGCACCTGGAACTGGCTGCAGTTATCGAGTCACACACGGCTGAATCATGTAGTTGTGAGGCCTTGGTTGCCAGTCTCTGCTCCTTGAGGCCTGAGTTTCCCTACTTGGAAAATGGGGAGTCTGGACTGGGCACCACCCACCAGGGTCCCTTTGACCCTGCTGCACTGAGGTTGATGAGCCAGTGCTCCTGAGAACCAGAAGACCTGGTGGGGCCAGATCCCCCTGTTGCCCCCTCCTCCCCCTACCCCTCCCAGCTGTGACACTCAGCTTAACAGATGCTTGCCCCCCTGGCCCAGAGCCAGCTTACTCCAGGTCCTTGCTTACTCTGCTGGGCTGCAGAACAGGATCCACCTCTCTGAGCCGCTCCCTGCCTGCCTGTGCAATCTCCAGAGAGCTTTTAAAAACAGTAGTGCTGGAAAAAACAAAACAAAACAAAACAAACACAACAGTAAGGGCACCTCACTTCCAGAGCGTATGATTTAATTAGTCTGGGGTGGGACCTGGGCACTGGCATTATTTTGAGAATCTCCTCAGATATTTTCAAAGGTTTGGAGGGTTGGAATCCCCTGACCTAAAATTTGGTCACTAAGTGACTGCAGTGTGTCAACTTGACGTGTGAGAAACCCTCTGCTTCCCCTGCTCTGGCCTGTGTCTGGAGTATCTTCTAGTTACCTGAGCAGAGACCTGTGGGGCTGAAGTGAGGACCCCTGGAGCAAGGGCTCAGCCACCTGTAGGTCCCCTCCTGGTGTCCTGTAGGTGCTCAAAGGTGGTTTGATGGGCAGAATTAGCACACTCCTGCCACCCCTCACCCCCACGCCCAGTCCCGGAGATTCCCTACCCCTAATTCAGACTTGAACATCCTGGCCAGAGGGGCTCCCTTTCTGGGGTGTGCGGAAAGCAGCGGGCTCGGAGGGGGCAGTTCCACACCCTCAGCTGTGGCTGCCCAGTGTCCTGGCACCCGCCCAGCCTGACACAGATGGGAGCTCACATGATTCTGCCTCAGCCCGTGAATGGGCAGCTTCCAGCTGGGATTTTTTAGACTGAGCTGGGAGGCTGTGTCTGCCGGAAATTGCCAGAGGGGGAGCAAGGTCCTGGCTGCTGGAGCAACAGCGTGGGGGGTCCCCTGGGCAGGGCAAGGTGGATCCAGTCTCCTCTTCCCAGGACTCTGCAGAGCCACTGGAGGAAGCCGGGTTATTTGAGGCTTGAGGGCAGAGCTCAGCTCGGCAGGCAGTCAGAAAGGACAGAATTCGGACGCCCTTTGCTGCCACTCACTGCTAGCTCCTCACCTGGCGTCAAGACGACCACTTTCCTGGGGTCAGTCCAGCTGTTTGCAAACTGGAGATCGTGACCCATTAGTGGATGAGGAAACCAATTTAGTAGCTCATGACCTGCATATAGAAAACCAGAAATGATCAGGATGCAGCACCAGTTGGGTAAGCATTGCTTTGGGGAAGTTTGATTCTCGCCCTGAATGCATGCAGGTGTGTGTATAATGTTTATGTGTGCTGGGTTACAAGGTCAAGTGTGATCTGTCCTCAGAGGTGCTTAAAGGCAGCAAGTTGATGCCTGGACACGTGGGTTCTGGCTTCAGATCCAGACCTGCTGGATAAGCCTGAGCTGCTGGGTTAGCTTCCCAGGGATGCAGGTTCTTGAGATGGGTTAGCAGTGCCAGCCCCACCGGATGCAGGAGACTTTGAGCCCAAATGGGATTGAATCTTGAAATACTTATGAGGGCTTCAGAGATGAGATGCTGTCCCCTTGGTGTTGCTGGAGTGAAGCTATTTAGGAAAGAGGGGGCTGAAGAAGAATACAACCTCCCTCCCCAGAGGCAACTATCAACAGCGTCTGAAATGAGTGCTTTGAGGAACTGAAACATGGAGATTTGACCAGTTAAAGGGAAGGGAAGCTGGACTGGCAGGAAACTCCCAGCTCTGTGGGCTTGGGGCTCCCCAGCTGAGTCGCCTGGTGTTGGCGCGATGAGTAATTGTGAGTGTGCTGTGTGCACCACAGGGGATAGAGGGTTGATGGATTAGATCACTGTTCATGCACCGGCTGGCATCCAGCTTCAGGCACCTCCTGCTGTTTCCTTGGGCCGGTGGCAGGAGGCTTTTGGTGGGCATCAAGCCGCCATCTCTCTTGACGTTCCATTTCTCATTAAAGTCTGCAGAGACCTCTACACTAATGAGCACATGTCTAAAGACTTGCTTTTAGGTGTTGGGATGCTGATGTGTACTTCTCTCAGTTTCTTAGTTGGATGATAAAGGAGCCCCTTGTCCAGATTCTTGGCCCCAATCTCCTCCACTTCCACTTTGGGGAGTCACAGAGTGGGTGCAAGTAGGTTTTCCTCAGTGTGTGTTGAGGCTTGGACACCCTCCAGGTGTAGGACTAAGCCTGGTGACCCCTGCGGTGGCATCTGTGAGGATTGGAACCTGGAGGCCTGGAGGTGCAGGGTGGAGCCTCAGTGACGGTTGTGATAAACTGAAAGATTATCAAGGAAAGCATGGGCTGGCTGAGTCAAAACCTGGTCTGCCACATCCTAACTGTGGACTTGAGTGGGTTGGTGAATATTTCCCAGCCTTGGTGTTTTCATCTGTAAAATGGGCTCTGGTGTGAGTGATGGCGAGGGGGAGAATGTTTGAAAATGTACCTGGTGTGTGGAGGGCTGTCAGCAGTGTAGTTTGCTCTTCCACCCCAACTCCTTTTTCCACTGACAGAACACTTGCATCTGCTGTGTCCTTTCATTTTTGAAAGATGGAGACTGAATTGTGTATATGGAGACTAAATAGAGAAAGACACTCCAGACAAGATGTCTTCAGGGAGGGGTAAAGGGAAGTCTGGCTGTGATAAGGCTTGGGTAAAGAAACAGGAACCTTTGACCAACTCAGGCAGCTTGAACAGAGACCAGGAGATATATCCTCCTTTTATAATTTCTATTAATGGTATCTCCACTGTCCCAGCATCCAGTCTCAAAACTCCCCACCCATGTAAACTACCCACTTTTCATCCATCAATAGACCCACTAACCCATGCATCTGCTTCTCCCCATCCAGCCATTTATACAGTCACCCATCCATCACCCATCCACCCATCCGTCGCACATCCACCCATTCAGCCACCTATTTACCCACCCACTCACTCACCCATCTGTCTATCTACCCACTCATCCCTCCATTTATTCATCCACTTACCTACCCACCTACCCATTCACCCATCTACCTACCCATCCACTCAACTGCCCATCCATCCAATCATCCACCTACCCACCCAGCCAGCTATCTCACAAATAATTTTTTTAAGATTTATTTATTTATGCATACAAGAGCTGGGGTACAGGCCAGAGATGCAGTGGGTGAGGGGATTCACCAGAGACAGACTGGGGAGCAGAACAGGCAGATTGACTGAAATACACTGCTGAGGGGAGCAGCGGGCAAGACAGGAGAGGTCTGCTGCGCCATGTGGGTAGCTCCCTGGCCGGCTGGGTTTTGAACTTGTGATGCAGAGGCTGTGGATTGCTTCATAGTGCATTGCTTAACTCCTTGCACCACCAGGGAGGCCCTCTCACAAATAATTTTGACAGCTTACAAGGACTAAGTACCGAGGAACTTCTCAGATTTGTTCCTGACTGTTCCATACCTGCCCCTAATTAGTTGTTAGTTTCCACAGCTTCTTGTAGTTTCTTCTTTGGCCATGCCTTCCTCATACTTAGATTCTTGTCATGCCAAGCTACTTTCAGTTCCCCAAAGGTGCCATTCCCTCTCCACATTAGGTCTATTGCACACATTGTTTCTACAGGCAGAAATGCCCCTCCACTCAGGCAGCCCTCACCTCTTCTCCTGGCTGTAGCATAATTTGCTGCATAGGAGAGTGTTTCTGACAGGATTGGGTCACCCCATGATCTCCTGTGACCTCCTGGCTTCCCTTTTCTCCCTCTCCTACAAGACAAAAGCACTTGAGTTACTAGGGACCAGGGTCTACCGCAGTGCCTTCTCCATCATAGGTATTCAGTAAGACTTGTCATATGAATAGGTGAGTGGGTGGGTGGGTGGGTGGAGAGATAGGTGGGTGCATGTATAGACGGATGGATGATTGACAAGCCATGGAAGGATTTGAAGCTGAGTGATTTGGTTAGATTTTGAGGAGTGCGCTTTCTGCGGAGACTGAGTAAAGGAGAAACTCCTGACAAGATGTAGTTGGGGTGCCTGTCTTCGGGGGAGGGGCATGAAAAAGCAGATGGCTAGAAGATGGCTTTGGGGTGATAAGGTAAAAAGAGGAAATTCTCTGGAGGCTGTTGTGCTGATTATGGGGAGAATGACCAAGCAAGTGAGAGCTGGAGAAGAGGTGATGGAGCAGAGCTACCGAGCAGCGAAACACAGAATGGGTAGCTAAGTGGGTGCTGTGGATGAAGGTGAGGGAGGAAGCTGAAGGCCGGCCTTCCCATGAATGACTGGGCAGCTGCCCCTTCCAAGGGCAGATGAGTGGGGAAAATGGTGGCGGTGGGGTGGGGCTCTCTGAGCTGGTCTGTGAGGCGACAGGAAGCAGGTTATGCCAACTGTTGGGGCAAACCAGGCTCAGGGCAGGCAGGTTCATGGTTGATTTGGGCAAATGGATAAAGAAATCTTGGAGCCTTAGGTAACGTGATGTACCTTCAATGCTGAAGCAGGGAACCAGACACAAAAGCAGACCAGCAGGCCGGGGGCAGGGAGGCAGCCGAGCCTCCCAGGACCCCCACCTCCCATATCTGAGATTTCTCAGCCTGGGAGTCTGCACTTATGCTTCTCGCCCTCCCACAACAACACATCACCATGTGTGGGTAATGAAACCTGGGAGGGCAGCAAGGCTGCAGGTGGTGGCTGTAGAGGCTGGTGGTGGGAGGCGAAAAAGAGTAACTTCATTTCCCCTACACCAACCTTCTGCTCTGCCAGGGGGACAAGGGGGGACAGAGTGCAGGTGAGCTTGAAACCATGGAGCAGAGGATGTCCCGAAGTGTGTGGATTGAAAAGAGCAAACCAATGTTCGAAGGGAGTGGAGGCTTGCCCGTGGCACCTCCACACACTGCTTCCATGGTGGTATTTTGTACACAGGCTGTTCCAGCCTTCCCAAGTTGGAGGCCCCGCAAGGCTGGGAGCCATTGTTTCTCTGTCTGGAAGTGCTCCCTGTCCAGTCTGCTGCCACGAATGTTGTAGACACTCCACAAAAACTTGTTGAATGAAATCCAGAGGCTGAGGAAGCCCCTCTATCTTTCTGGGCCTTAGTTCTCCGTCTCTAAAATGGGGAGAATAACAGGGTTTAGGGTAAGTGTAAAGGTCAGGAATACCACAGTGCAGGTTTTCTGATCCCATGCAGACCGGGTGAAGGAGGAGTCAGAGTTCTCAGTGGTTTTACAGGTTTTTTTGGGGTTCACCAAGCATATGGCAGGCAGGGGTGCTGGGGGGCCGGGAGGCTGGCAGTCCTCCCAGCCCCCAGCAAATCCTCACTATCCGGGCTCTCCGGCCTTCTCTCGGCTTCTCTTTCGGCTTCTGCTGCTTGCTGGCGTCCCCATGACGCCGCCCTTAAAAGTCCATTCTTAGCCCAGGTGAATCCCATCTACCTAGGCCCACACCCTAATTCCAGGTGCCCGCCATCAGGCATGCATTCAGGACAAGGATCCATCATCTATCCTGATGGCGGGAGGGCAGTAAGTACCTTACTGTACTTACCCTACAGTAAGGTAAAAAGTATCAGGCTTTTCTGCCCTCTCGCCATTAGGATAGATGACGGAACCCTGCGGTCCTGAATGCACGCCTGACGGCAGGCACCTGGAGTAGGGTGTGGGCATATGTAGATGGATTCACCTGGGCTAAGACTGGGTTTATAAGGGCGGTGTCATGGGGGTGCCAGCAGAAGAAACAGAGAAGCAGAATGAATGGAAGAGCAGATACCACCAAAGATCACTGGAGAGCCCAGATAGAGTGAAGGCTTGTGGGGGCTGGAAGGCCTGCCAGCCTCCCGGTTCCCCCAGCACCCCTGCCTGCTGTGTACCTGGTAAATTCCAATAAAAGCCTGAAAACCCACCAAAGTCTCCAGGACTCACTCCTTCTTTACCCTGTCTACTGGATCAGAAAACCTGCCCTGTGTCCTTCCTGCCCCCACACAGGGCTGTGTTGAAGATGGGACAAGAAGGCAGATGTGAGAAGCTCTGTAAATTGTGAAATACTTGGTAAGTCCAAAGTGGAAGACCTCTGAGGATGCCGTCAATGTTTCTTGAGCGCCTGGATGAGGTGGCTGTTCTCCTGGGGGCTATGGCCTGGTTCTGCTGGGTCTGAGGTGCTCCTCCCAGCCAAGTATGCTCCCCGGCCTGGGAATGCATGCAGGACACTTGATCAGGAACCAAACCCCAAATTGTAGACCTTTGAGTGCCTTGTCACTCAACATGTGGTCTATGGGCCACCAGGAACCAGGAGCTTGCTGGAAATGCAGAAAACAAGCCCACCTCAGCCCTCCTGAGTCAGAAACTGCAGAGTAGGCTCGACTCTCCAAGTGATTCAGATGTACCTAAGCTGGAAGACTGTTGCCCCAAAATACCAAGGCTTTCTTTTTACTTCTGAGCAGAGAAGGTGCTTTCATCTTAATGTAAACAAACATTTCTTCTTGGCCCTGCAGGCTGGAATAGTTCTGACTCTGGTTGCCAGAATTGGCTTACGGTTACTACTAAACCATAGGCTTTAGGCTTGGTGACTCTCAGTGAGGTCCTAAGACCTGACAGGTTATGTTTGTACTGTGCCTTCATTTTTCCTGTTTTGTTGGCACCTGTGCTTATGAATGAATTTTATCCTACCGTGGATGGATTTTTATCTGGACTGTGCGGACCTGAGATAAATTCAGGGGCAGTCCCAGGCAGGTGTCCCTGAGGGCTGCTGCCAACTTGTCCCTATGTAGGGTAAACCCTTGGGCCCCATAAGTGTGGGTTGGGGTTCAGGACAGGGCAGTTGGCAAGAGAAGGGTAAGCAGGACCAAATTCTGATTCTGTGGGTTACGGGCAGAGTTTAGGGTCACAGCCCTCCTTCCCCTGTTCCCCTTTTTTCATCATCAAAACATGTATGCAAGAACAAAAACACAAAATGCAAAAAACCAAAAAGAAATGCCCCGTGCTTTGTTGGTGGATATGTGAAATGGTGCAGCTGCTGCAGAAAATGGAATTGTGGTTCCTTAAAAAATCAAAAATAGAATTAGCTTAGTGTCCACCTCTGCGTACATGTGAGTGTCTTTAGTGCCAAGGAATCAAAAGTCCCAATTCAAACAGATATTTACACACCCATGTTCATTGTCAAAAGGTGGAGACAACCCAGATGTACTTGCACAAATGAACAGAAAAGCAAGCTGTGGGCTGTGTCCTTACAATGGAATATTACTTAGCCTTAAAAAGGAATACCTGCTACAACGTGGATGAATCTTGGGGACATTTTCCTAAATGAAATAAGCCAGTGACAAAAAGATAAATACTGTATGATTCCACACACACGGAAACCTTGGAACAAATTCTTAGAGACAGAAAATGGAATGGTGGGGGCTGGGGCTGGGGGGCAGAGAAGATATGGAGTTAGTGTTAAGTGGGGGCCGGTTTTTGCAGTCAAATGCTCTACCACTGAGCTATACCCCCCCGGGGGCCGGTTTTTGGCTGAGAAAATGGGAAAGTCCTGCAGGTGGACGGTGATGACAGTGGCAGAAAAATGTGTCTTCAGTGCCATTGAACAGTGCATGCAAAATGGACTGAATTTAACCACAGTTAAAAGCAATAAGAAGAAGTACCCCCTCTGTCACTGAAATTCCAGGCCCAGGGCCTGGAGAGAATGAGGAGGTGAGCCTGGCTGGGCTCCTGTCTTCCAAGACCATTGAGAGTGCATCTCAGGTGGGCACTGGATGTGGCAGGGGGGATGGATTCAAATGCCACTGCTTCCTTCCTCAGGTGACTGGGCCAGTCACTTCCCCTTTCGCAAACAGGAAGGTGGCATTCACTCATTTATTCTAGAAGTCTTCCTGGGTAGGCATCTGTTTAAGGTGCACCAGGCCTCTGCCCTCTTGGAATTGGCATTCTCATGGAGGAGGCAGATCATCAACAGGCAGACAAATAGAAAAACAAGAAAAATTTCGGATGCTGATGGGGGCTCTGTGGACTAATCAGATGATGATGTCATGGTGATGGGGGAGGGGCTGCTGTAATGGGGTGGTCTCCTGGGGAGGTGGCATTAAGTTGAGATGTAGCAGAAAAGGACTGGCTCTGGGGTGGTGGGATGGAGGGCTGGAGGCAGCACCCTGGGGGAGGCAGCAGCAAAGGCCAAGGCGGGAGGGAGACCATTTTCGGAGGCCCAGACAGCTGGCCCCATGGCTGGGGTGTGGTGAGGTAGGCAAGGGGGGCAGAGCTGGGGCCAGGCAAGGTTGGGCCTTGTAGGTTCTGTGAGGAATTGGGGTCTTATTGTAAGTCTAATAAAATATGTCAGTGGGTTTAAAGCAAGAGACAGGAGACTATGCATTTTAGGAAGATCGCTGTGGCTGCAATTGGAATAGGAGAGCAGGGCTGGAGGGGGTGAGGGGGGGCAGGTATATTGGCTACAGGGGGTCCAGGTGAGGGGGCTGGCTTTGGACAAGATCCATCACTCACCCGTTCTAGAGGCACTCAGGAGAGCTATGGGCCTCCTTTTCCAGGAAAACTGCACATACTTATTTACAAGATTGAGTGTATGATTTCAGGGGACCCCTCAGACTTATTCCAGGACCAGAACGTCTGGGCTGGGTGTGTCCGAGTCCTTTCCCAGCACACGGCACCAGCTTCTAGGCTGAGCTCTGGTTCTAGTCACAAGGCCAGGCAGCAGCCACAACAGAACCAGCGGGAGTGCAGGCTCCCGTCAGTAGGTGATGAGACATGGGGTTGGTATTGGGCCCTGAGGGGTTTTCTTCTGGTCAGCGAGCCCCAGTGTGACTGGTAAAGGCAGAGGTGATACCGCAGAACAGTGTCATTCAGGCCCCACGGCTTTGGAACTTGCAACCACTTAGCTCATCCATCTCAAGGAGAGAAAACTGGCTCTTGGGTGGGGTGAAAAATCTTGACATTATAGTACTTTGTCGCCTTCTAAAGGGCCACAATGCATAAAAGGATGTGTGGTGTCACTGGGGTATTAAAATTTCACGGGGATGGGTGTGGTTAGGAAAAAAATAGAATGGCTCCTTGGGAAGATGATATGGGAAAAAAAAAGGTTAAAATGTTCTGATATAGAGCCCATGAGTCTCCAAATCTGAGCAGGTAGAGCTAAGCCAACAGAGCATCTCAGGCCTCTCATTTGATATATTAATTTATAAACTAGGCTTACGACAAAGCATTTAACTCTTTTTCAAAAGTCACTAGAAGCTTCTTGTTACGTTCTCACGAATGCAAGGAAGGTTACCACTTTTTCCTCTGCCCCTTTGTCTCTGGAAAAACAACTCCTTTCACTTTGACATCCTTTATGCCTATTTTACAAATGACAAGAAGGCTCAGAAGTGGTGGATGACCCGACAGCTTGTAAGCGGCTAGCCCTGGCCTGGTGTTCACATCTGTGGGTTCCTGGCCCTGTGCTGTTCCCCCCAAGACCCCAAAGAGGAGAGGAGCGGTGGAGCCTGCTGATGAGCCTCCAAGAGCCCAGGCAGTGCCCTGTGAAAACTTTGCCTTGTTTTCTTGCCAGAGCACAGCAGGACTTGGAGAAGGTTGAGCCTTTTCCGTGCTGTGTGGTGAGGCTCTCACAGGGCCTGACCCACCTGGTATTTTCCCTAGCGCAAGCAGGGGAAATGTGAAGGACACTCCTGACCTTCCTTGCTGCATTTACAGGCCAGGAAATCAAGGGACAGGAAGCCAGGGGAGGGACACGGGAAGACGAGCCACTTTGAGTGTCTCAGTGTGTGACCCATTCAGGTATTCTGGCTGGATCATCTTCTAAACTAGAACCTGACACCAGTAGGAGCTAGGTAAATATTAACTCCTTTCATTCTAAAACCTTTCCCACTTTAGACTTTCAGGAACTTAACCTGTACCCATGAAGCCCAGCTGGACCCGTATCCAATAAACAAGATGGCAGGAGAGAGACGGCCCTTTCCCTGAGTCCATGAGGCCCCCTCAGGCCCAACAATGGGGAACATCACTGCAGACAACACCTCTCTGCTGACCTGTGCCATCGACCACACCATCCACCAGACTCTAGCCCCGGTGGTCTATGTCACTGTGCTGGTGGTGGGCTTCCCGGCCAACTGCCTGGCCCTCTACTTCGGCTACCTGCAGATCAAGGCCCGGAACGAGCTTGGCGTGTACTTGTGCAACCTGACGGTGGCCGACCTCTTCTACATCTGCTCGCTTCCCTTCTGGCTGCAGTACGTGCTACAGCACGACAACTGGTTGCACAGCAACCTGTTCTGCCAGGTGTGCGGCATCCTCCTGTATGAGAACATCTACATCAGCGTGGGCTTCCTCTGCTGCATCTCCATCGACCGCTACCTGGCCGTGGCCCATCCCTTCCGCTTCCACCAGTTCCGCACCCTCAAGGCGGCCGTGGGTGTCAGCGTGGTCATCTGGGCCAAGGAGCTGCTGGCCAGCGTCTACTTCCTCCTGCACCAGGAGGTGGCGGTGGACAAGGACCGGCACCGCCTCTGCTTCGAGCACTACCCCCTGAGGCAGTGGCAGCGGGGCATCAACTACTACCGCTTCTTGGTGGGCTTCCTCTTCCCCATCTGCCTGCTGCTGGTCTCCTACCAGGGCATCCTGCGGGCCGTGCGCCGCAGCCACGGCACCCAGAAAAGCCGCAAGGACCAGATCCAGCGGCTGGTGCTCAGCACGGTGGTCATCTTCCTGGCCTGCTTCCTGCCCTACCACGTGCTGCTGCTTGTGCGCAGCCTCTGGGAGTACAGCTGCGATTTCGCCAAGAGCATCTTCAACACCTACCATTTTGCCCTCCTCCTCACCAGCTTCAACTGTGTGGCTGACCCTGTGCTCTACTGCTTCGTCAGCGAGACCACCCACCGGGACCTGGCCCGCCTCTGTGGGGCCTGCTGGGCCTTCCTCACCTGCTCCAGGACCAGCCGGGCCCAGGAGGCCTCTGGGAAGAACGAGGAGCCTGAGTTGTTGACCAAGCTCCACTCAACCTTCCAGACCCCTAACTCGCCAGCACTGGGAGGATCCCCCACGGGGGCGCTGGCCTAAGTGGGGTCACCCCTAGTGGGGTGAAGCTTGGTCTGAGCTTGCTCAGCAGCTGCCACCTGCTTTGCCACCAAACAGAGGTGGCTCTTTCTGCTGGAGGGAGCCATGGGCCTGGGTCACTGGGCCATGGGCCTGGGCCTCAGAAGACCCCTCTAGGCCCAGGAAGCCACTGTAGCTTGCTGAGTGCCTATGACTGTCAGATTTGGGGCTCAGCCCTGTCAGCTCATGGGTGTCGTCTGCTGCTGGCTGGGCTGCTGGTGGGGGAAGATGGTGGACCACCACCTCCTGGAAGTTTTCAAGGAGGAGCTGGAGTGGAGGTGCATGGAGTAAGGACACAGAGGATGGGTGATTGGGTGATGAAGGTGGGGACCTGAGTGTGCACCTGCTAGGGCCTTCCCGTGCCATACTGTTATACTTAACACCTGTCCAGATGTAGTGTTGTCTGAGGAGGTGAGGCTGAGTTGTCCTCACTAACACTGGAGACCCATCCCACTGCAGGTTGGGAAGGGAAATGAGCAGGGTTAGGAGGTTGGAGGGGGAGAAAAAGGTAGGGAGGTGTTTGGGGCACTGGGAGTACAGGGGATGCAGAACAGGGGAGAGGAGTGACAAGCAGGAGAGACCCCAGCTCCAACCATTTCATAGTTTCACAGAGAGCTGAGAAGATTCTTAAGGGTCAGGAGAGGGACCTAAAAACAGGGTCCAGTGGGGTTCTCTACACAGATCCTTCATTAGTTTTCTGTTTGCATCTTCCCAGAAGCAAAAAAGCAAAAGACCCAGAAGTTTGGGAAGTTGTGTGTGTGTGTGTGTGTGTGTGTGTACATGGTTAAAATGCTAGGGTCTCCATGACAGCCATGTGCCAAGACACAGAGGTTAGGGTCACATGACTGCTGGCTGTGTCCACCCCCAGCCCCTGCCCCACACTCTGGAGTATCCTGTGTCTCGGAGCGAAGCACGACTTTCTCCGTGAGTTCCCAGACACAACAGAACAAACACATCAGAGATGTACTCTTGGGCGTCCCTCGCCCAAAGTCCTGGGTTCCACTCCACTATGGTGTAAAGAGCCCCTGTGACAGGAGAGGGGTCACTTCCCTCCTTTGTTCCCCAGCCTGCTCCTCTGCAGAGGTGTCCCACCTCGCCCCCCAGCAGTGACGGTGGCCGTGAGCCATGGTGCCCGGGGCGCTGGCCACCATCTTTCTTTAGGTTCTGGAAGGGAGGGGCTCATCTCATCAGCAACTTCATGCTTGGCTGTGTTGAGCCCCTGCTCTGGTGAACATGCTAGTGACCAGAAGAGCTGCTTGCTGCTTCAGGAGACCTCCCACCGGCTTCACAGATTTCCTGACTAGTGGGCTGGAGCCAGCTCTGACTTCCCTCAAAGGCCTGGGAGTCGAGCTTCTCACCACCAAGTTGAGTGGGGTTGCACCTGGGGAGAAACCAGAGACAGGGAGGTAGAAGCTGGCATCAGTAGAACATTTCTGGAGTCTACTAAAAGGAGGGTCTGGGAGAAGCTCTCTCTCAGCCTCCCTCCTCGCTTTTTCCTCTCTCGAAAAGCTAGATCTACCCCAAGTTTCTTAACCCTCCCCACAGGGGTCCCCAGAGACACATAACCCTGACTGGCTATGCCTCAGGGAAGTGTGGTTACTGGGGTCCCAGCCTACACTTGGCACTGACTGGGCAGCCTGTGGTCTAGCTCCTACAGGCACTTCTTATAACCTGGGGAGTTCCCTTTCCTGTAGGAGGAAGAGATCAGGTCTGAAGTTTACAGAAATGGTCACATGGCTGAGCTAGGGATCTTACTGGAGCAACTGGCTGAGCCCCTTATGTCCCCTCATTCTACAGTATTTCCTCCTATTGTCACCTTAAACATGGGCGTTCCCACTGGGATGGACAGGGATAAGCTAAGGGCGGTTCCGTTTACTCTCAACAGTTGTATTTTTGTACTGTCCCCTTTCATGCCATGTATGTGTGTGTTAGACTGTGCAAAGGATTTATGTAGCAAACTTGAGTCTGAAATAAAGCAAAGTAACCAGCCACCACTGGAGTGTGCTGCTGTCCTTGTTGGGAGGAGGGTCTTTCAACACTGGGGGGATCTTGAAACCCACAAAGTTGTCAGGAAGGTCCAGAGATTCCCTTTTTCAGGGAAAACTGGAACCAAGCAATTAGGGATTTTCCCTTGATCACCCAGCAATGGCCAAGAGGGATCAAGCCTTCTAGTGAAGCAGGGTGGGTCTCTCTCCCTTCTCTTGAGAATCCTGAAGGATCTTCAGCATTTCAACTCGTTGTTGCAAATTCGCTCCAGGACTTGACCTCCCACTTGAGAACAGAGCCCAGGCCCGAGGTTTGGAGACAATCACGCCTCTGTCTTTGGACACATGTTCCCGTTTGTCTGCTGAGTAGCTCCTCCCTGCATTGCATTGAGGTAGGGTTTGGTCAGAACTTCCATCCTTAGAGAAGACAGCCAGAGCAGGGGCTGGTTGCATTCATCTCTTGGGGGATATCCACAGTTCCTGGTTTTGTTTGGGGAGACCACATTTGTTGAGCAACTTTTTTAGCTTGGACATTTTCTAAACAGCGGCAGGCTCCATGTTTATAGGCTCCATGTTTATCGCTAAGGATTAACTGCATCATATTAAAATGCAAATTTGGTTTGGTTACTTAATCCCTCTCTTGAGTGTTCCAGGGGACTTTGTCCTCTTCCAAACAGACTAAGGACATTTTGGAGATTAAGACCCCTTCTCTCCTGAGAGAATGGGTGGAGGAGAAGGTCTATTTGGTTTGAACTGAAGGTGACAGAAGCCATTAAATTTCTTTCTTTTTTTAAAAAAGATTTATTTATTTGTGGAAGAACCGGGGTACAGGCCAGATGTGCGGGAGGGTGAGAGGATTCACCAGAGACAGAGTGGGGAACAGAACAGGCAGACTGACGAAATACACTGCATGAGGGGAGCAGGGGGTCAAGACAGGAAGGTCTGCTGTGCCATGTGGGCCCCTCGCCGGCAGGGATCGAACCCGTGCTGCAGAGGCTGTGGACAGCTTCACAGCGCGGCGCTCAACCGCCTGCACCACCAGGGGAGGCCCTAAATTACTTTCTTATTCACCAGTGTAGTTTAGCAAGGGAGGGGCTCATCTTCCTGTTTAAATACAGTGGTCTGTGGCTGGGCCAGACAGAGCAAGAGACATTTTCGGGATACAATACAGTCTCATCTGCTGTTTTCCTCTGGCTGGTACAACCAAGAGCACCAGGATCTTGCTCTGTTGATTGAATGCTTCTGGGGACATTCCATGCCCACCCCACTTCTGGCAGCTGGGGATCCTGCCGCCTACAGGAATTCATCTATAGCACGACGATGATGATCTTTGGTGGCACTCGCCCTGGGACAAACACAGTCCCCAGATCTGGAGAAATGGTGGGATCTCAATTCCATTTGCTTTCATTCAACTATTAGTAGAACACTGCTAGAGGAGACATTAGGAATCAGCACTGGAATGTTCTGTGGAGGTCGTGAAATCCAAATTCCTTTCCCCCATGAATTATCCCACCTAAGTCCCTCAAAAATGATGGTCTAGTTTCTTTACAAATACCACCCAGTGACACTATTTAGCTCATGCCAGAGGTGGGCAGAAAATCTGAACTCCTAGTGGGCCAAAGTGCAGCCACTGCTCCTGCTGGCCTTAGTGCTAGCCCCAGGAGTCACATGACCATGCAGGTACTGGTATTTGAAGTCAACTCTCATGTCCTAATATGCAGTGTTGAGCCTTCCAAACTTATATTAGACAAGGAGGATTATACTCCAGTAACAAAATAACCCCCAAATCACATTGCCTTAAAAACAAGAAGAATTTCTTTCCTGTTTATGTAAAGCCCAATGAGAAACTGCTTTCTGGCAAGCCTTTTCCCAAGTGTGGAAGTTCAGGACCCTTCCCCCCAGAGGGTCCTTCTTCTTGGACTTCTCTTTCCATGCACACTAGTAGGGAAAGCAGCCCGAAGAGTTGGGGGAGGGGGCGAAGGGGAGGGGGGTTTGGTTATGGCCAAACCTTCAGGTGGCAGATGTCTGGGAGTGGATGTGTCCCCCTCACAAGTCATTGGCCAGATGCTGCTCACATGGGCCAACCTGAACTATAAAGGAGGCTGGGAAATGTAGTTTTCCTAAGTATGCCGGAAGAGGGAGCAGAATTGAGGCACACCTGGCTAGTCTTTGTTAGTTTCTTCATGTCACTTCTTCTGAATAAAATCCACATCTTCAAATGTGATGCTAGTTGGGGAGGAAGCTAATTTTCCTCTGCCTTCTATGTCTATAGGCTGGAAAATAATTAATAGACAACAGAGAGATTATTAGCAAAAGAAAAGATAAATTTTAATGACATGCTCAGGAGGCTCACAGAATATGACACCCTTCTGGTCATTCCAGTGAAGTTCTGTAGTTTCTAGAAAGGGAACAATAAAATAGGAAGTACAAAAAGAACAAAGAACTTCACAATTTAAAGAACAAGGAATTTTGCAGGGTTCATCTTCAAAGGCATCCCAGACAGATTTTGCCAGCCTTAGTCTGGGACGATAAGGGTATTTCCCACCTCCCAGACCACCAGCAATTTCCTGTTTTTAGGAAGATAGATAATTAGGCAAAACTTTACACTTGGATCTTTTGTTTGTTTACATTTTAAAACGGTTCATTAGGAAAAGGAGAAAGAAAAAGAGAGGCACTTGCATAGTCATGGGTGGGCAGGAAAGCCAATCTTTTGTTTCTTAATGAGCATGCCACTTAGCCACATCCGGCTAAGTGTCTTTGGTTCCAACACTGGGATCTGAAGCCGGAGTCTGACCTGTATTGAGGATAAGGGGCCTTTAGTCCTCCCGCTCCTATCAATGATTGACTTTTCTGGCCAGTACATCAATCGCTGACATATGAAGAGTTCAAGTGAGCTGGTGTTACACCACATCTCCTTTCTGACTGGACCAGTGTGGTGCTTGAATTTGAGAGTAGACATCTTTATGGAATTAGTGGAACCATACGGAATGGGCAGAGAGGAGCGGAATACAGTGGCTGGACTAAGGTGGGCGGCGAGCAGCCAGACTTGGGTCATGACAGGCAGGAGATGACTCAGAGGGATGCAGGCTCAGCTGAGCCATGGGAGGCACATGGCCAGAGGACAGCCAGGGCACTGCAGAGCCTGACCCCTTCATTGACTCACTTTCCTGGCTCCTAACTGCAACGTCTGTGGAACAAGAACATCTTGAAGTACCCAAGGTTTCCAGTATGCCCTTGGGTATCCAGAGACCATCCCAGGTACAGTTTAATATGATTCATCCCCCAGTATTCTGGGAAATGCCTAGGGAGGCTCATGTGTCCCACAAATCCATCCTGGTAGAAACAGGTAGGGGAGATGGAGTAGCTCAGGCTTTTTTCGCCCCCACCCCCACCCCCAGCCTCTATGGCTACCACCTGCAGTCTTGCATGCTCCTAGGTTGTGTGGATGCCAGGGGCTGAGAGGCGTGGGCCTGGGCACGCATGCCTATGATTACTGACACCTGGACTGAGGAGCGGGAGGGATAAAAGGGGCTCTTCAGCATGGGTGCTCACAGCGGCGTCTCTGGGGCTAGGGGTCTTTGCTGCTGTCTCCCTGCTGGCTGGTCTGTTCCCTGATTTAGCGTTAAAGGCCTGTAAAATGATACCAAGGGCTCCAAAATTCTCTTCATCTGCGAAAATCGAAATTAACCTACCTGTCCTGGGTGGTTGCACAACAAAGCTGTTGACTGTCTCACCCTGGGCCACCATTCCCTAGAGGTTTTATCCTGTCCCTGTGACCAGCTTCTCCAGGCGGTAGCCACCTCACCAGGCTGCCCCCAAAGCATAGCCAAGACTAGGGTGAACTTGGGCAAAATGTTACCAAAGACCTGAACAGGACTCACTGCAGAATGGAAAAGCATAAAACGACCCTGGATTCTCAGGGCCCCAGTGGTCTCTGCTGGACCCTGCTAGGAAGTCTTTTCCTAGCTCTTGCTTTCACCTTAGTGTCTGATTTAGGGTTCTCAGCTTGCCTCTCCCTGCAGGGGGTAGGGGTTTGGATGCTTACTCCTGAGCTAAGGCCCTACTCAGCTTCCTCTGTTCTACCTGGGTCTCTCTCTCTTTCACCAATAACTTAATATCTCCCCCATAAACTTCTAAAGTTACCTTTCACCATGCCTCAAAGTTGTCCATGCTGGGATAGAGTTCTACTATTGCAAAACCAATGCCCCTTTAGCGTCATCCCCCAAAGATGACTCAGAAGAGCACTGGCAACTTGACCAGAGTGAAGTTTTTCCTCATCCAGTCATGAAGATTTAAAACGTCAGGGTGTTTCTCAAAGAAAAATTCCCGTTATACAGAGCTCTGCAGCCCCAAATCTGGGATACAAGTTATAATGGGGGGAGACTGGGCTAGTGACGCTTAAAGCTGAGGCAGTTAGCTGAGCCCTGAGGGGTCGCAGTTGGAGGGACTGAGTTCATTACCAAGGGCATTTCAGCCCAGAGGCCCTGGCACAGGACTGCAGCCTTGTGTGTGTGTGTGCAGCGGGGGTGGGGTGGGGGGAGAGGGGGGTGCTTCTGAGCAGACCCCACCCCAGTTGCTTGTAGCCAGGGGCTTCACCACACCCTGTGGGAGCCCTGGACATTCACCGCAGGTCACTTTACACTTAGCTCGGCTGTTGAGTGTACAGCAGTCCTGGAATGAAGTTGTTTGGTAACATTTCTTTATAAACTTGATGAGAAAAGAGCAATTTGGGGCTACGTGGACAAACTACACTGTTGGAGGATCTGCTTTTCTTTTAAATTATTTTGCTTAAAGTTGCAATTTCCAAGAACCTGTCTGTGACTTAAGTGAGGTCACTTCTATAGCATGTTGTAGGGAGCACAGCGTAACTCAGGCCTCTCCGCCCCAGCCTCTGCGCCGCCACCTGCGGCTGTTTGCCTGCTGGCTTCATTACCCGCATGTGACACCGTGTGGTGGGAAGGTGCTTAGGAGCATGAGCATGGGGCACACACACCTATGATATGGGCTCTCGGGTCAAGAAGTGGGAGATTGCGGGGGCTGGGGGACTCGGTTGCTGCCTGCCTGCTGGTCTGCCTGTGTACGCGGTCCCCTGCTTCAGCATGTCAGATATACCTGAGGCTCCAGGATTCCTTTTTCATTTGCCTGAATCAACCATGAAGCTACCCAGCGTGGGGTGATTGTACAACACGTGTGTCCTGTGCTCCACAGCTAGTGCCCTTTGAGCAATCAGACTGGGCATGCTTAAGGAAATGAAATTAAGCAGGTCCAATAAACACCGAGCAGGGAAGAAGGAGCAACCCCCCATCCCCCACCCCATGAGCCCACCATCACTCAGGCTGGCCCGGCACAGGCGTTGGGCTGGCTCATTGTGTGCGTGTAATGGGCTGTGGTCAGTGACATCGCTGCTTGTAACTCGGATGGGAAGTAGGTGCTGGGCGCTTGTGAAGGAGATAAGGGCACGTGACCAAGGGTGTCTGGTGGACTCTCACCCATGTGACTACTAGGTTGAGATGGTGCTGCCTGAGCCCCAGGCTCCAGGAGTATGACTGAGCCCCAATGCAGGAAGGCCAAGGCATTCAGCTCAGGGCTGGAGGTGAACAGAATGGGGGGAGAGGTGGCCGAGGTGGAAGAATGGCAGGCTCCGAGGCAGAGGGTCAAGAGATATGGGGGTAGAGGGAGGTAGGGGCAGGGGAGTGGCAATAGTCACGAATGCAAAATTCAACGGCACTCTTAAGTAAACAAAAGGCTGGAAAGAGCATTTCAAAGGTATAAATATTTTGGTGGTGGTGGTGATGAGTAAACCTTTGGTGGAATCCCAGAGTTTCATAAATATTCACAACACGGCATTTGTACACTTTGCTATTTCTTAGTTAGTCTGGGGGATTATTCACGGCCCTGGTGCACCCACTGTTGTGTCTGCCTGGCAGTTATTGCTCACTGGTGTCCCCCTGAGTGATTGGTCAGAAGAGTCTCTGAGCAGACTGGGGGCGTAACCGGAAGAAGCCGGGGTGAAGGAGGGTTGGAATCAATGCCTGTAGCACTTGAGGAATAAAAGCCAAAACTTGAAACACCAAAGGAGAGGAAAGTCTTTCTTGGGCCACAGCATCTGTCCTGTCCCCTCTAGAAAGTGGGGGTGTGGGGCCCCAGGCCCGTGAGAGGTGACCGCTCACCCAGGGCCAGTATTGCTGCTGTGGAGGAAGCTAGGGGTCCTTGGGGACCGCCCCCAGGCCTGGGAGTGGGTCTGGTATGCTCTCTACGCCACTCAGTGGGCAGGGTCAGGCCTGCACTGCAGTGACGTCCAGCAGCTTCTGGACCATCTGTGCGTGGGTGCCGTGGAAGGGCAGCCCGTCCACCTCCATGCCCACATTGCCTGTGACGCCGCTCCGGACCTCATGCTGCACCAGGAGGCTCAACATTTTTTCTTCCTGGAAAAATAAATGGGGCAGAGAGAAGTGGCAGAGGGAGGGAGAGAAGAAAGAAATGCATTTATAAGTGGAGAAAATGTATTTGACGTATGCACTCTCTTTTAAAAAATAACGCTTGGGTAAAAAAAATATGAAAAAGTGTCCTGCATCATATTTCATTGGCCCCTGAACAGTTTGCCCATTTCTTTTACCTTCATTTAACTAAATAATAGGCTGCTATGGACACCTGTGTTTCTTGACAAGCACTCCTGCAGGTGCAGTGTGGCTACCTTCTGCCCACCCGGGCCCTGCCCACTTCGGACTACCTGCCAGCGGCCTTTGATGGTGTCTGGATGGCCTCGTTCCTCGAAACCCCACCCCCAGCCTCCCAGCCGCCCTCTGTGGGAAAATCACCAACTCTTGCTGCTGTCACTTTCTAGAGAGCACCCAGTGTAGGTGTGGGAGCACATGCAAAAGCAGAACCCCATCTGAGGCCACAGCTCAGGCTCCAGTAGACAGAGTGGTTTGGGACCAGACAGATCTGATGTGGGTGCTTCCTGGCAGGTGTTTTAACCTCTGTGCCTCTGTCCTCATCTGGATGATGGGGAGCACGATGATGTTGCCTCATTTGAAGGATGAAGTTTTAACAATTACATGAAATAGTGCAAGAGCCCAGCATGGTCCTTGGCACACAATAGGTGGGCCGGGCTGGGGGGCCTGACCTTCAGCATAGAACCTTCCTTTCACTTGTTTTAAAAACTAAAAAGTGATTTGATTCCCCACTTCTCTCCCTCCAACGTGTAAGTTCCCGAAGAATTGCTTGTCTTCACCACTGCCCAGGCAAGATGGTCTTAGGTGAAGTTACTGGAGGAGAGGAGGGTGCCTGTGGGGCACCAGAGGGACACATCCTTCCTCTGCCTGCTCATTCCCAAACAAAGGAGGGAGGGGACAAAGGGCAAGGGGAACTAGAACAGGAAGATTCAGACTTTGATGTTTAGTGAGAGCCTGCTTAGTGCCAGTCCTGACCCGGGGTGGGTGGGTGGGTGTGACAGGGTCCCTGCCCAGGAGCTCACAGTCTCCATAGGGGTCAGGCAGCCCTGTCCAGGGATTACCACTCACAGCAGGGGTCCCAACCCTATTTACTGGAGTGACTCAAGATTTTCTGGGGGGCAATGATGACTGCAGGTGACAAAACAGCAGGAATGAGCAGTGAGGGGCTTTGAGGCCCCATGTTAGAAAATTTCCAAAACAATGGAGACGGCATGGGTGTCTCCTGGGAACAGTCTCTACTCTCTCCTGGCTAGAGCCTGCATTTCCATCTACCTCTGGCACAAAGGGCATTTCCAGAGCACTCTTTGTCCAGCAGCGCCTTCCCAGGGGCTGCCCAGCCGAGAACGGCATTTCCTTCCCTTGTTTGGGTTTGTTCTCCCATCTCTTTTCATTGGGTCATATCCTCTCTTTATGGGGGAATGTTTCTGGGATCCAGGGGCCATTTCCTCCCAGCACACTGCCTGCTCCCACCGTTCACATCCACTGGGTCCCGGGGAGGGTCTGGGGGTGCCCAGGATGCATGTGATCAGTCAACAACATGGGCAGTGACTGGCACCAGCCTCCAGAGCCACAAAGACCAGCCAGGCCAATAGAGCCACTGGCTCATTTCCAGGAATCTCTGACTGGCCACACTGTCTTCACGGAGCCCCACCTAAGGGGTGTGAGGCCTGGCCAAAGGGACGTGAGGCAGAGTGGACAGGACTTGGGCCTAGTCCATTTTGGGGGTGGGGTGGGAAAAGACCCCAGGATGCCTTGGGGCTGAGAGGTTAGGTATGTGGGTGGTGGTTGTTCATTCACATGGAAAGTGTGGCGGGCTGGTATTCGGGGCTGGGTGATGCTGCTGTTCAAAGTGAGATGGGATGAAGGAGCCTTCTGGGAAGTTGGAACTGTTTTGTATCGTGATCCTGGTGGTGGCTGCAAACTTCATCTTAAACACTTAAGGTTTATCTACTGTATTCTGTTATTATATCTCATTTTAAAACATTATAAAGAAAAATAGGGAATGAAAGTTTTAGAAGAGAATAGGAGCCTACAATGAGGTCAGAAGTCATGTTCCTGCCTCTCCATTATCTATCCATCCATCCATCCATCTGCCTGTGAAGCATTATGCTTCCATCCTACATTTCCAGAGTACCTTCTTTGGTCTAGGCCCCAAAATATGGACAAATAAGTCATCACCCCTTTCCTTCAAGAATCTATGTACTCTTTGGTTCCTTCTCTCTTGCTGCCAGTGGGCATGTGAACAAAGGGGTCCTCTTCTGTTTCCCCAGCTACATGGCTAAGTGCTTTAACAGAGCAGCTCATATGACCTTCTAAACTTGGGTCTATTGTCTTCATTTATTTGATGACCCCCGAGGAGTGCTGAGGTTGGGAGACCAGCTTGAGACTCAGGTGGTAGAACTGGGATTAAACCAGGCAGCTGAGCTCCAGGCCTGCTTCTTTCCTAAACACCCACTTCACTCACCCAAGACAGGCTGGACATTTTTAAAAAGCATTCCATCCTGGGAAACAGGAGGTATCCAGAAGCATAGAGAAGAAATGATCCTAACCAGCATCGGGGCAGAGTTGGCCTGGCTGGCTCACATCTGTGGCTCTGACCAGCTTCCCCAGGTCTCCCGGTTGGGACCCTGTAGTCCCTCCCAGGGCCCCACCCCAGACCTGCCACCCTGTTTTCTGCAGCGTTCTGGACCCCAAGATGAGGGAGACCAAGACCACAGCCCTTAGGCTCCGGGCCCACTCGTTCCGGAGCTTGCAGGTAGCACCTTAGTCTCTCCTATAGGGGGTCTTCTGTTGGCTCTTAGCTCCTGACAAGTCTGAGGAATGCTCTCCAGCCCTTTGCTTGACCCTCAAGTAAAACCCCAGGGCACACTGCTGGGTCAAGGGCCTGAGAAGGCAGATGGACCCTGGCCTGTGGTGGCCACTGTGCCTGGACTCTTCAGCATGAGGCCTAGTCCTGCTCTAGTCATGGTCAGAACTGCCTCTGGATATGAGAGGCCTTAGTTACAAGCAACTCACAGAGCAGAGATGAGGGACTCTCCTCTGCCCCTAATCAGTTAAGCTTTGCCACCAGCTCAGGGCAGTTCGGTCTGGTCAACATCTTTTGATGACTCAGGACACCCATGAAGTGTCCCACAGAACTCGAGTGGGATGATTCCAGTTTACACTGTTTTTCATGTCTCCAAACCTTTGCTTGCGTGGCTCCTGCTCCCTGAATACCCTTCCTACCCTTCCTTACCTGGCTAGTAGTATCCGACTCACCCTCCAAGACCCAAGTCAGTGTCCTCTCCTCCAGGCAGCCTTCCTTGAACTCTCCGAATGAACTAAGCACCTGTTCTCTGTATCCCCACAGCTGTTGTACACACTTCTTCCCACTCCTGAAATTACCTCTGTGTGTCATCTCCGTGGATCCCATGTTCCGGAGCCAGGGGCCATGTCCCACCCTTCAGTCTTTCAGAGTGGGCCAGGGTCTGACCCAGAGGAGGGCTCAACACATGCATTTGTCCTTTATCTTTAAAAATGTTCCCTTTGATTTGCTTTATATGGGCAGCACAGCATTAATGTATTAAGAATTGGTTGGAAAGGCAAAAGGAGAATTTTCTGTCCCTGGAGGGTAAGTGTTGGCCTGTGGGAAGTGGCTGGCTGGGCTCATTCTTTTGTGTCTGTGTGAATCAGGAGTCATGTGTGAGACGGCTCTGAGTGCTTCTTTCCAGTTCAGATCCAGGAAGTGTAAAGAAAGCACAGAGGCCCTCTAAGCCCAACTGGAGCAGACAGTTCCCTGAAAATGTCCCTTCAGCTGCCAGAGCCCACTCTCCCCAGCTCCTCCCACACCCTGATATTACCAGGAACTGGAAACCTCTGAGCCAGGTGGGGAGGAGCCTATTCCCCTAGATAGGTTCTGTCTCTGCCTCTTGAGGGCCAGCAGCGCCCTACTTTGGAACCCCAGGCCTGCTCCTCACCCAGGGAAACAGTGACTCTGGTGGGAGTGGCTTGCTGGGGCTTGTTACCTTAGTGACAGAGGGGAGGGCCTGAGTCCAGCTATGCTCCCCAGGAGCCCTGGGGGGCCCCACTGCCTTTCTCAGGTAACGCCCATGGGTCTCGCATGAGTTCAGGATGTACAGCGCACAGGCTAAGGCGTAGCCGCCCCAGTTGGAAACACCTAGGGGAGAAAAAGATTCTGTCAAAGACTGAGAATTAGAAAGACCCAGCATGCCTCGCACTGCCTCTGAGTAGCAGAATTCATCTCAAAGAGTAGGCGAAGACCAGTGGACCAGAATTACCTGGGAACCTGTTAGACACACCAGTTCTTGGGATGCAGCCCAGATGTGTGAAGGAGCTCAGCTAGGGAACGGGGAGCAGCTGTGTTTTCTTCGGTCCTCCCAGTGACTCCGGTGCAGGTTAAAGTTTGAGGACCATTGCCTGGAACCATCTGGGTTATGCATTGCTAATGAGCATAGTGCCAAGGACTCAGGCTACTGCCCGAAGAGGCCATTCCAGAACTCTCCTTCTGGCTAATCTGAATCCCAGCACAGCAGGGAAGGCCCTCTGGGCAGGGTTGAGCGACAGCTCTTCCATGCTGTTGTGCCACCTCTTTAAGTGGCTAGCAGTCACTTCTAAGGTCAGCTTCTGCCTTCCTTTCCCTGTCTAGGCACAGGCCCAGAGGGCTTATTCTACAGCGTGGGGGCCACCTCATGGGCTCTTCTCTGAAACCTGCTGGGTTCTCCAATGAGTCAGAGAAGGGCTGAATAAGAACCTGCCAAGTTCTAGGTGCTGGAGAATCAAAAAGGAAAGAGGCACTCCCCACGAGGGGAGAAGGGGACTGCACCTGCAGCAAACCACTGCATGGGATGATCTGTGAAGGGGGTCCTCCCAAAGGATGACGGGGGCACGGAGGAGCAGGCACGCATTCTGCCAGGCTTGCGAGAGAGTCACAGAGAAGGAGTCATTTACTTGCCAGAGGTAGGGTGGAAGAGTGGGGGCATTTCCGGTAGGAAAAAAAAGATACATGCAGTGAGAACAAAAGCGCTTGGCATGAAAAAATGAAGCGTATACCAAAATATGTGGGTGACTATGCAGTGATGATAATGTTGCTTTTCACTAATTCTAAGATGATGCAATTTTTTAGGTTAACATCTCTGAACTTGAGATGCATTTTACAATCAATAGCATCTAGACATTATAATTGGCAGTGTTTTCCTTTCTTGGTGGTAACAAAATAATGGTAATTCTTGTCATTGATAACATCTGAGACTCAAGGGGACAGGGCCACCTGCCTGGAGTACTTATAATGTATGTACTCTTCTACCGCCTTCCATGGATTAGCTCCAGTTCTTGGGGGCTGCAGGCTCCCAAACAAGAGCTTGGTGTCCTTATGACAAGCCTATGAGGTGTGGGAATTATGATTATTTCCATTGTAACACTGGAAAACAGACACAGAGAGGTTAATAACCTGCCAAAGGGCACACAGCTAGTATGTGGTAAATCCGAAATGTGAACTCAGCCTGCTGCTTCCAAATCCTATATATATATATTACACAAATATATGATTTGAAAATGTTTAATTAATTGCGTCAGATTTCTTTTTTTGTCCTTTTTATTTAGAAGTGTGCTGTGTAATCTCAAATTGTTTGGGGATTTTCTAGCTATCTTTTTGTTACTGATTTCTAAGTGCTGCTCTAGGGGTCTGAGAGCAGACATGAGGATTTCTATTCTTTTAAATTTGTCAAGGTGTTTTTTTTTTTTTTTTATGGTCCAGAAAGTGGTCCATATTGGTGAATGTTCCATGTAAGCTTGAGAAGTATGTGCAGTCTGCTATTGTTGGATGGAGGAGTCTATACATGTCAATTATATCTAGTTAACTGATGTGCTGTTGAGTTCAACTATGTCCTTAACAATTTTCTGCCTGCTGAATCTGTCCATTTATGATAGAGGGATGTTAATGTTTCCAACTAACTCTAGGAGAGGATTCCTCTATTTCTCTTCCTTGTGTTTCTTTCTGTTTTTGTCTCACCTATTGTGTGCTCTATTGTTAGGCACATATATACTGAGGATTGCTATCTTCTTCAAGTATGACCCGCTTATCATTATGGAATGTCCCTTCTTTCCCTGAGAAGTTATCTGTTCTTAAATTTGCTCTGTTGAAATTCATATAGTTACTTTTGCTTTTAAAATTTCTACTAGTATTAGTATGGCATATCTTTCTCTATCCCTTTACTGCTAAAGTATATGTTTTTATTTTTACAGTGGGCTTCTCATAACAACATACAGTTGGGTGTTGTTTTTTGCTCTATTCTGAAAATCTGTCTTATAACTGGTATTCTAGACCACTGATGCTTATTATTGGTATAGATGGATTGCAGCTACCGTATTTGTTCCTGTGTTTTACTTAGTTGCCCTTGTTCTTTTATCCTATTTTTTATCTTCCACTCTTTTTCCTTCATTATTTTTTCCTTTGAGAAAGTCTTTATCCTTCATTTCCAATATTATGTAGGCTACAGAATTCTAGGTTGCTGTGTTTTTTTTTTCCTGAACACTTTAAGTATTTCACTCTATTCTTGCTTTCGTGGTCTCTGAGAAGTCAGATGTAATGCTTATCTTGGTTCCTCGGTAAGTTGGCTATTTTTCCCACCTTTGGCTTTTTTAGTCCTTTATTTTTGATTTTCTGATGTTTCATACATGCAAGTATAGTTTTTTGGTATGTATTTTGCTTGGGGTTCTCTGAGTTTCCTGGGTCTGTGGTTTAGTGCCTGTTATTTTGAGGGAAATTCTCAGTCATTATTGCCTCAATTCTTTCTCTCTTTTCCCTCAGATGTTCCCATTAGATATGTTATACCAGTTTTGTAGTTGACTAACATTTTTTGGATATTGTTTTTTTTTCCTTTTTTTTAGTTTTGGAAGTTTCTATTGTCATATCCTCAAGTTCAGAGATTGTTTCCTCAGCTGTATTCAAAGATGTATCAAAGCATTCTTCATTATAGTGTTTTTAATCTCTAACATTTCCTTCTAATTATTTCTTAGAATTTCTCTCTCTCTGCTGTTGCACTTGTATACTTCTACTCTAACCCCAGTACCCAGAATAATTCCTAATGTTTGTTGAATGACTGAATGAGAGGCTAGAGACTGAGAACTAAGTTCCCTTCTTGTCCAGATGCCTCTAGACTCTACTCATAGAAGAGCAAGCTTCTGCTTGGCCAGGTTCCAAGTCAGATCCCTTCCCTGGATAGCAGGAGGACATGGCTGGTCAGCCACCCAAGCACTCACCGGCGATAACAGCAAAGTCAGCTGCCACGTCACAGGCGATGACATCCCCATTTCGTATATGCTTCTTCACGGCCTCCTTGACTTTGCCCATCCCAAGTTCATTGCCTCCATCACCGACTCCTAGAGGGAAGGGAACTAAGTCAGCATACAGGGTTGGGCCAAAGTGGGGCCAATGTGGGGCTGTCCTGCTACATGTGCCTACTTCCTCAGGGAGGAGAAAGGAGTTGGTTCTAGAAACATTCTCAGAAACCAGATGTAGCACTTGTACTTTGGGTCTTGTAGAAACTCCTCTTATTAAAAGTACATCAACATTTATGGGCCTCCCCGGTGGCGCAGCGGTTGAGCGCTGGGTTGCGAAGCTGCCTGCAGCCTCTGCAGCGCCGGTTCGATCCCCGGCTGCTCCTGGCCACTGGAGGAGGGTCCCACATGGTGTGCAGACCTCTCCTGCTGCCCGCTGCTCCCCTAAGCCGTGTACCTCGGTCCTTCTGCCTGCTCTGCTCCCCGCTCTGGCTCTGGTGAATTCTCTCACCCTACCGTGCTTATGACTGTACCCAGTGCTTGTATAAATAAATAAATAAATCTTTAAAAAAACAAGCAAACATAGTGGCCAGCTGGGGAGTTAGCCCACACCGGGCCCCTTCTGAACAAGTAGTCTGAGCCCACAGGGAGAGCGAGCACCCACAGCCGGGGCAGACCAGGCGCGCAGAATAGTGTGCCTGAGACCAGAAGCGCAGGGAGTGTGTCCCACATCACCATTTTAGAACAGGGACATTTCTTCAGTAAAGACTACCTGCAGAAGGCTTCCTCAGGAGCCAGAGGTGAGCGGGGGAAGTTCGCCCACGCCAGACCCCCTCTGGCCTGCAGTCCAAGCCCAGAGGGGAGCAGGAACCCACCGCCGGGGCAGACCAGGCGCACAGGGGAGTGTGTCCCCACATCGGCATTTTAGAACAGGGACCTTTCTCCAGTAAAGGCTGCTTGAAACTGACAGATGACTCCTGGAAGAACCAGAGGGGAACAGAGAAGCCCACCCAAGATGCCGGCAAGTCCCAACAACACAGTGTCCCAACGCATACGGCAAATTAGAAAACAGACAGTAGGGAGGAGAAGAACCACACGCAACCTAGCAACTCTCCAGAGAAAAAGCACACCACAAAAAGAAAGCCAGCCCCCAGATTGCAACGACAATAACTTGGAAGAATTTCTGAGCCTTCCAGAAAGAGAATTTAAAATTGCCGTGATTAAAAAACTGACAGAAGTCATAAAGGAAAACAATGATAAGGGAAAAATAATCAACGATCAGAAGAATGCAATTGAGTCCCTAGAGAGGGAAAACAATGGTCAGAAGAAAGAAATTGAGTCCCTAAAGAGGGAAGTAAAAGAAATGCAGGAGATCAAAGAATTAATGGAAGAACTAAAGAATTCTGGGAAAAGCAATGAAAGCAGAATAGATGAAATGGAAGAACGAATAAGTAATCTTGAAGACACAGAAATAAAAAGAACCAAAACAGAGAAGGAAAGAGAAGTACGAAGGAAAAAGAACGAAGAAAGACTTCGGGAACTATCGGACTCCATGAGGAAAGGAAATATAAGAGTTATAGGAATACCAGAAGGAGAGGAGAGAGATGTAGGAACAGAGAAAATATTCAAAGAGATAATTGAAGAGAACTTCCCAAATGTGAAGAAGGAGCTGAAAATTGATATACAAGAAGCAAGAAGAACACCAAACTTCCACGACGAAAGGAAAAATACAGCAAGACACATAATAGTAAAGCTCCCAAGAATCCAGGACAAGGAAAAAATAATGAAGCTGGCAAGAGGGAAGAAACAGATAACATTCAAAGGAAAACCAATCAGGCTGACATCAGACTTCTCCGAAGAAACACTACGGGCAAGGAGAGAGTGGAGGGACATAGTCAACAGACTCCAAGAAAACAGATGCCAACCAAGAATACTCTATCCCGCAAAGCTCTCCTTCCTCTTTGAAGAAAGAATATGGACCTTCCCAGACAAACAGAAACTCCGGAATTTCATTGCAACTAAACCCCCACTCCAAAAAATACTACAAGGAGTTCTAAAGCCAGAACCTCAGAGCGACGAATAACAATGAAAGAAGGCCAAAAAAAAAAAAAGTTATTAAAAGAATAAATAAATAAAATCAAAGGAAAGACAAACACAATGGCAAATACAGATGTTAACATATCAATATTAACTCTAAATGTAAATGGACTAAACTCTTCAATAAAAAGACACAGAGTTGCAGCCTGGATTAAGAAACAAAACCCAACCTTTTGCTGTCTCCAGGAAACACATTTAGCTACAAAAGATAAAAATAGGCTCAAAGTTAAAGGATGGAAAACAATCCTACAAGCAAATGGACCAAAAAAGAAAGCAGGAACAGCTATACTTATATCAGATAAAACAGATTTCAAACTCAAAAAGATAAAAGAGACCCCAATGGTCACTACATTATGATCAAGGGGACAATACTTCAAGAAGAAATAACACTCATTAACATATACTCACCAAACGAAGGAGCACCAAAATATATCAGACAACTGTTGTCCTCTCTGAAAACAGACATCAGAGAAAACACATACGTAGTGGGAGACTTCAACACACCACTATCAACAATGGATAGATCAACAAGACAAAAAATAAGTAAAGAAACCAAAGCTCTAAATAAAGACCTAGAGCAATTGGGCTTAACAGACATCTATAGAACACTAAACCCCAAAAAAACGGAGTACACATTTTTCTCAAGCGCACACGGATCATTCTCCAGGATCGATCACATACTGGGGCACAAGACAAACATCAACAGATACACCAAGATTGAAATCATATCAACCATCTTTTCTGACCATGAAGGCATCAAACTAGAAATAAACCATAAAAAGAAGGCAAGGAACTTTCCTACCTCATGGAGATTAAAAACCACACTACTGGAAGACCATTGGGCTAATGAGGAGATCAAAGAAGAAATTAAAAAATTTTTTGAATTGAACGACAAGGAGGACACCAATATCCTAAATGTATGGGATGCAGCAAAAGCAGTAATAAGAGGAAAATATATAGCAATAGAAGCTCACATCAAGAAACAAGAAAGAACGCAAAGAAACAACCTAATCTCGAAGCTCAAAGATCTAGAAAAAGAACAACAAGAAAACCCCAAAACCAGTAGAAGAAAAGAAATAATAAAAACCAAAGCAGAAATAAATGAAATTGAAACTAAAAAAACAATCCAAAAGATCAATGAAACCAAGAGCTGGTTCTTTGAAAAAATCAATAAAATAGACAAACCCCTAGCCAGGCTCACAAAGGAAAAAAGGGAGAAAGCACAAATAAACAGGATCATCAATGAAAGAGGAGAAATCACAACGGACACAGCAGAAATCAAAAGAATAATCAGTAACTACTATGAACAGTTATATGGAAACAAGTTTAACAATCTAGAGGAGATGGACAAATTCCTACAACTCTACAATCACCCAAAGCTAGATAAAGAAGAAATAGAACACCTAAACAGACCAATTACAATTAGCGAAATTGAAATGGTAATCAAAAACCTCCCCAAAAACAAAAGCCCAGGACCTGATGGATTTACAAATGAATTCTACCAAACATTCAGAGACGAATTAGTGCCTATCCTTCACAAACTCTTCCAAAAAATTGAGAAGGAAGGGACAATACCTAACACGTTCTATGAAGCCAACATTACACTAATACCAAAACCGAACAAGGACAACACAAAAAAGGAAAACTACAGGCCAATCTCCCTAATGAACACTGATGCAAAAATCCTCAATAAAATTTTAGCTATCAGAATCCAACAATGTATCCATAAGATAATTCACCACGACCAAGTTGGATTCATTCCAGGGGCACAAGGATGGTTTAACATCCGAAAATCAATCAACGTTATCCAACACATCAACAAAAAGAAATATAAAAACCATATGATAATATCAATAGATGCTGAGAAAGCTTTCGACAAAGTGCAACACCCATTCATGATAAAAGCTCTTGAAGTTCTTGGGATACAAGGAACATACCTCAACATCATAAAGGCCATCTATGACAAGCCAACAGCCAGTATCATTCTCAATGGTGAAAAGCTGAAAGCAATTCCATTAAGATCTGGAACAAGACAAGGATGTCCACTCTCACCATTGCTTTTCAATATAATACTGGAAGTCCTAGCCAGGGCAATAAGACAAGAGAAAGACATCCAAGGAATCCAAATAGGAAAAGAAGAAGTCAAACTATCACTATTTGCAGACGATATGATATTATACATAGAGAACCCCAAAAACTCCACAGAAAAGCTAATTCAACTCATCAACCAGTTCAGTAAAGTGGCAGGATACAAAATCAACACGCAAAAGTCAGTAGCCTTCCTATACACAAACAATAAATCTGAAGAAGAAGAAATCGAAAAGACCATCCCTTTTGTTATTGAAACAAAAAAAATCAAATATTTGGGAATAAATCTAACAAAAGAGGTAAAGGACCTATACAAAGAAAACTATAAAACACTGTTAAAAGAAATAGAAGAAGACACAAAGAAATGGAGAGACATCCCCTGCTCATGGATTGGAAGAATAAACATTATTAAAATGGCCATCCTTCCAAAAGCAATATACAGATTCAATGCTATTCCAATCAAAATTTCAATGTCATTCTTCAAAGAAATAGAAAAATTATTGATGAAATTCATATGGAATCACAAAAAACCCCGAATAGCCAAAGCTCTCCTGAAAAAAAAGAAGGGAATGGAGGCATCAGACTCCCAGACTTCAAACTATACTACAAAGCCATAATCATCAAAACTGCATGGTATTGGAACAAGAACAGACATACAGACCAATGGAATCGAATAGAAAATCCAGAAATAAACCCACAGATTTATGGTCAACTAATCTTTGACAAAGGAGCAAAGACTATGCATTGGAGCAAAGAAAGTTTGTTCAATAAATGGTGCTGGGAAACTGGGTCGCTACATGCAAAAGAATGAAGCTTGACCACCACCTCACACCATACACAAAAATCAACTCAAAATGGATTAAAGAACTAGACATAAGACCTGAAACCATAAAATATATAGAAGGAAATATAGGCGAAACACTACGTGATTTGCACATCAAAGACATCTTTACAGACACATCACCCAAAGCAGTGATAGTGAAGGCAAAGATAAACAGCTGGGACTATATCAAATTAAAGAGCTTTTGCACAGCAAAAGAGACAATAACAAAAACAAAGAAACCCCACCAACTGGGAGAACATTTTTGCACCCAACACTAATGATAAAGGACTGATCACAAAAATCTGCAAAGAGCTGATGAGACTCAACAACAACAAAGAAAATAATCCAGTCAAAAAATGGGCAGAAGAGCTTAAAAGAAACTTCTCTGAAGAGGAAATGCAAATGGCCAACAGGCATATGAAAAAATGTTCAACATCACTTGTCATCAGGGAAATGCAAATCAAAACTACCATGAGATACCATCTTACACCAGTGAGAATGGCACATATTAAAAAAACTAGCAACAACAAATGTTGGCGAGGGTGTGGAGAAAAAGGAACTCTTCTGCACTGTTGGTGGGAGTGCAAACTGGTCCAACCACTGTGGAAAGCTGTGTGGAGATTTCTGGACCTACTAAACATAGAGCTTCCATATGACCCAGCAATTCCACTCCTAGGTATTTACCCAAAGGACACAGAAACATCAATTCCAAAGAACACCTGCACCCCTATGTTTATAGCAGCACTGTTTACAATAGCTAAGCTTTGGAAACAACCCAAATGCCCAAAAATAGATGACTGGATCAAGAAGATGTGGTACATATACACCATGGAATATTACTCAGCATTCAAAAAAGATAAACACATGCAATTTGCTGCAACATGGATGGCGCTGGAAGGGATCATGCTCAGCGAAATAAGCCAAAAAGAAAAAGAAAAATACCGGATGGTCTCACTCATAGCAGGAATCTAGAAAACTTAAATAATGGACCAGGAAAATGAAAAACTATAAGAAAGTGAAAATCAAAATCAACAAAAAACTATGAACCAGAGACACTTTTAGGGGGGCGGGGGCGGGAGGGGAGGGATTGGGGTCAGAATGGGGGGCGGCAATTGTATGGGGAATATAACAATAAAATTTATAAAAAAAAAAAAAAAAATAAAATAAAGAGACGAAACTGAAAAAAAAAAAAATATAAATTACTCTTTATGTATGTAAGGTAAACTTCTATTACCATCATAAAATTATAACCCCCCAAAATGGCTTCAAAAATCATAAGAGGAAGCCTCTCTGGTGGCACTAGGGGTTGGGACGTAACCTATGAAGCTATCTGCAGCCACTGCAGCACGAGTTTGATCCCTGGCCAGGGAGCCACCCACATGGCACAGCAGACGTCTCCTGGCTCCCCTGCTGCTCCCCTCAGCAGTGTACTTCGGCCGATCCACCTGTTCTGTTCCCCACTCTGTCTCTGGCGAATCCTCTCACCCCCACACTCTGGCCTGTACCCCAGTTCTTGTATGTATAAATAAATAAATCTTTTTAAAAATCAAAAAAAAAAAAAAAAAAAAAACAAGCAAACAAAAAAAAAAACAAAACAAAACAAACAAACAAACAAAATACATCAACATTTAGAGCTCACCAGAATGTGAGCATGTTCTCTATTGGGTCATGTTCTCCATGCATAGATGGAGCCCCTTTATGCCAGTTTTGTCAGGCCCACAGAAGATGCAGGTGTGGTGACATCCAGGACCTGCCTTGAGTGGCTCCTGCCACAAGTCACTGAGCCCCACTGGTGGGACCTGACAGCTTCCCATTGGCAGGAGGAAACTGGTCAAAGTTCTGTAATTTACTTTTAAGGCTTCTGTTTAAAGGATGTGAAATGTACATGTGTTAATTCATTTTAATCTACATGAGAGTGGTGCCTGGTTAACATGTGAAGTCTCCTAGTACACACTGGTGGGGGGTGCCATTTAAAAAGATGGGTGTACAAAACCATCTGATAATGGGCACCAGAGGGCTGGTTAACTAGCATAATAGAAAATGTTAAAGTAAGGAAAGGTTAGAATGATTTATCTCACTGGAGAAATAAAGAGAGGCAGATGGGCTAAAGATAATATATTTTTTAAAGATTTATTTATTTATACATACAAGAACTGGAGTACAGGCCAGAGGTGCAGGGGGTGAGAGGATTCACCAGAGATATAGTGGGGAACAGAACAGGCAGATTGACTGACATACGCTGCTGAGGGGAGCAGCGGGCAAGACAGGAGAGGTCTGCTGCACCATGTGGGTAGCTCCCTGGCCATCTGGGAATCGAACTTGTACTGCAGAGGCTGTGGATAACTTCCCAGTGCCATGCTTAACCCCTTGCACCACCAGGGAGACCTGGGCTATAAATAATTAATGGCACTTCTGCCCTAATTAGGAGAAGATGAGAGGCCTGTGCCTCTGAGGAGCAGTGTTTAATCCTATGTCCAGGTATTTCTGAGCACTCCATAGAGTTTAGCTGAATCCACCTGTAGATACTAGCAGCTGCCTCAAGGTGACCTTTCCTCCAAAGGGCTTGTCCAGATGCCTCACAGTCAAAGGGCAGGGCCCCTGGGCATGCTGCAATGTGTGTATGTGGTTGGTGCTCACTGGGATCGGAGGCCTCGGGACCTAGCGCTGACCTACCTCAAGCATCATCCTAGACCTGGACTCAGACAAAAGGTAAATGAGCACAGCCTTAGATCCACACGCTGGGCATTTTTCTCTGGAATTTCTCTTGGTCCATGCAGCCCACTGAGTGAAGAGAAACACCTCCGCTAGCACTGGACTATTGTCTCTGCTCTTTAGCATTTTATGTTTCCTCTTGCTCTCTCCTCATGTCAGTCCTGTCCATGACCTTGTTGTCTTCATGAATAGAGCCTGCAATTCTCTGAGCGGGTTGTCAGTAGGAGGTAGTGTGTAGACCTTCAGCTGAGCGCACTGTCCATGCTGAGACAGCTGCCTGTGGAAAGTATGGGGAGGGGTTTTGATGGGGCCAAGGCAGGGAAGGAGCACATGGGGTAGTCTGCTGTGAGGAGACAGGGGAGCCAGCAGTACTCGGGGTCCTGAGGCCAAGAGGGGGGCCAGGAGTCCTCCAAGCAGGCAGTTTAAAGCCACCAGTCATCAGCTCTTGTGCTTCCTCTGGGCCCCCACGGCCTTCACTGCACAGGACTTTAGGTGGACAGCCCTGGTTCTAGTAGCTCTGAGTGGCCCGACTGTCCGTTAGCACTGCAGACCCCTTCCTTCTCTCCCGTCAATGTCTCCTCCAGCCTGGGGTCCTCCGCCCAGGGAGACAGGAAGCCGGAGCCAGGGGCATTGGGTGCCACGCCCTGTGCCTTTCTGGGAAAGAGTGATTTACAGACATTTCCTAATCAACCAGAAGACTTTCATTGTCTCATCAAAACCTCAAAAGCCAAAGGCAGCTAATGAGTCTGGGAAACCTCTAAAGTGTTTGAATGGAGAGTACAAAAAACACAGAATAACAAACAAGCCTAATGACTCCAGCTCCTGACACTGCCCAGGGGAGGAGGCCAGCTCTCCAGAGAGCCTGTCAGAAATCCATAAAGGCTGCAGGATCTCACAAAGGGCAAACGGGGTGGGGTCCTGGGAGCCTGGATTCCACCCCTATTCCACTAGCAAGGTTAAGTAGCCAGGCACCTCAAGGGACCTTGGGGCCTGGGTCTGGACCCTACACCTGCCTTCCCCACTTACAGGGCTTTAAACAATATGATGGATGCAAAACCTCTTTGAAACTGATAATGGTCTGTACAAACACAAGTGATCACATTATTACTTTATTAATCAACATATTGTAGTAATCATGTATTTAAGATATATTTAAAATTAATACGCTTCCTGAGATGGTACAAAGGGTACATGAGACACTCACCCTGCATGACTGGAATAATGTCTGCATTTTATAATCGCTGTCAAGTCATTATTAGTTTTGTTATTTAGAGCTGGGCCAACAGAATATACCCAGTTAAGTGTCATTTCCCTTCCCTGGTGTGGGGTGTGGTGTCTGTCTAAGGGGTGGTGTCTGTCACGTCTACACTGGCCATAATAACCAAAGGCCGTCTCCGGAGTGAAAAGCCATGGTCCCCAGTAACTCCTTCCTGTCATGTGTTCAGCAGTCACTAAAAAGATGACATTTACTTTTGTTTTTATCAAATGTCTATTCATATCTTTGGCCCACTGAACCTAACCATTAAGAATCTGAAGTTAATTGTTCAACACAATTAACAATCTTGGAAATATGAATCAAGGCCACAGCTGATATCATTTTACACCAATTTAACTGGTTAAAAAACGATAAAAACCAAGTGCTGGAAAGGCTGTAGATACATAGGATCTCCTTTATACTGTGGGAATAAACTGACAAAAACAATTCGGGGAAAAAAAAAAAAAGACGACATTTAGGGCTGGCAGGTTCCAGTTGAGTTCTCAGCGCCCCCGGCTTACCTGTAGATGTGATGCCAGGAATCTTCTGTGCTGCAAGGAAAAGATCATCAATGGGGTCCGCCAAGTGCTTGATGTTCACCTTCCTGGCGTTGTAGTGGTTCCCGTCGGCTGCCCTACCCGTCCGCTCAATGGCCACCAGGTGGTCGAACCTGCGGAAGCAGGGTCACAGTGTCCCCATTGAGCTAGCTGCTGCCTTTATGCAAACGACCCTTTGTTCTCTCTTTGATTCCTTCATTCCTGCAGGACTTGGCTGAATACCTACTGTGTGCCCAGACCTCTGTCGAGAGATAGTCTATCACATCAGTTTCAAAAATAGCCTCTGAGTCTTTACAGCTTATTAGACTCAGTGGCTGTGTAAGCAGGAAGACCAATGGTCAGGTCACTGTGGGGGATGCTGCTGGTGCCTCCAAACCTCCATCACGGCACAGTAACCAGCCCCAGTGGTGTGGCCATTGGCTGCTGTGAGCACACTGCCGCCTCCTCCGGGATCTTGTTCACTTTCAGACACAAAATAGACTGAAATGGATTTGAAATTGAAAATGAATAAACCTAACACAAGAGAAACCTCTTTAGACAGAGCTAGAGAGATGGCACTGATGGGGGAGATGGCATGGGAGTAAGAACGTGGGGTGTAGAATCAGGTGGTGCACATTAGGATTCCAGGTCCTCTTGCCACTGGCCCTGGGGTGTCGCTAACCCAGCCGCCCTCACCTTCTGCATCTGCCTGCTGACCCAACTGCAGTATCTGTCTCCTACACTTTCGAAAGCGTTGAAAGAAATGACACACACAGCGCTGAGCACAGAGCCCCGCACCGGCCCAGCACTGAGCCCATGCTCGCGGGAGGTTGTGGCTGTGTCGTTATGAAGAGGAGCATTGTTTTGATAATCTAATTTCAGAACATGAACTGTGCCCTCTGATAGCTCTTTAAATTCCCCCTCAATGGAGTTCTTTAAGATCTTAAGTCTGCTTGGAGAAATTGTAGTGATTACTCCAAAATTAAAAATAGAATTACCTAAGGATCCAGCAATCCCACTTCTGGGTTTATACCTGAAAGGATCGAAAGAATTGAAATCTGGGTCTCTAGGGCATATTTATACCCCCCTCTGTGAGCAGCATTGCTCACAGAGGCAAGAGGTAGAAGTAGCCCAAGGTCCCAGCAACAGATGAATGGGTAAACAAATGTCATTTATCCACTCAGTGGGCTATTACTCAGCCTTTAAAAGGAAGGGCATTCTGATACAGGCTCCAGCATGGATGCACCTCCAAGACGTTGTGCTAAGAGAAAGAAGCCAGTCATGGGAAGACACAAAGCTATAGGATTTCATTCTATAAAGTACTAGAATCACCAGCTTTACAGAGACAGAAAGGAGGAGGGTGTTGCCAGGAGCAGAGGAAAGAGTAGCAGGGAGTTTACTGTTTAATCAGTAACAGAGTTCCCTTTGGGAAGATGAAAAAGTTCTGGAAATGAATGTTGGCGTTGGCTATACAACAATGTGGATGTACTTAACGCCACTGAACTGCATACTTAAAAACGCTAAAGTGGTGAATTTTACGTTATGTCTGTTTTGCGACAATAAGAAGTCTGGGCTCTGAGTGTTTTTTGTGGACCTGATTTTTCAGAACAAATGCAATTTGCCTGTCCATTGAGCCTGGTTGTGCTGGCACCCGGTGGTATCCTGTGCCTGGGGTGGGCTGGCAGCCCGGTGGGGGCTGGAGGAACATCCTGATGCTGCACCGCCAGAGAGGAGCAGGCAGCCACTGAAAAGCTGAACCAACAGGGGGACAGTGCTTCCATCCTGAATATCCCCTAGACCCATGTCAGCGGGGGAGAAAAGGGCAGCGAGGTAAGTGCTCTGGCTGGGGCAGCACACCCTCTGCTCTGGGGGAGAGCACTGGTCCAGAACAGTGACTCCTACACCCTGAGGCAGGTTGCTTTCTAGGCCAAAGGGTGCATTTCCCTGGATGAGACATAGCTCACTCCTGGGCAGGGTCCGCATCTTCTCCAGGGAGAGAACTGTCTCCCCACAACCACTTTTGGTTCCCCTCTCTCTACGCAGCAAACAGAGGAGCACCTGCGTTATCTGGCATTAGGGGGACTAAGGAGCCAGAGCCTTGAATGTCAACCATTTGAGGAATATGAAGACATCTAACGTGTCCCACACGTGTTCTGACAGCTTTAAACAGCATCTCAGGCCCCCCATCGGACTTTTCCTTGGTGACTCAGGGTCCCATTAATAAATGCCAGACTCTGCTATGGGCTGAGATTAGCTACACCCACCAGCCTATGAAGGCAGCATTTTAGAATTCTAAGTGGGCGCTCCTTATGGCTCGTGAAGTGCATTTTTTAGGCCAGGTCAATGTTTTCTGAAAAATGGAGCCGAGCAGCGTAGAATAGAACAGAACAGCAAATAGCAGAGTACATTACACATAACAAGACTAAATATTGTTTTTTGAAACTTCTATTTCAGTTGTGTATGTGTATGAACATGCATGTGTCTGTGTACATGTGTGTCCATGTACATGTGTGTCGGTGTGTGCTGATTTGTGATGCAAAATGCATTACTGTGGATGATTGTTAAAAAGTTTGCAAACTTCCGTATTGAGAATTGTAATATGTGAACGGCATGTATGTAGGGCTGTACTCTGCACACAGCACACAGTACACAGTGAAAACGACACACACCAGGCTTCCCCGGGAGCCCCCTGCTCCACATCATAGATGATGCGGCTTCTGTTTCACCTTCTGAGGGCTCTGGGCCCTCCCTGTGACAGAATTTCTGTACCCAGCTTGAGAAACCCAGTTTTTCTTGTTTCTTTTCCAAAACATTTTTCCTATCTTCTCCCTCCATTAGGAAGATGCCATCTCCTGGGAGCTGCGACTCCTGAGCCCCCATGGGTCCCTAGGCATCTTGCAGCACCCCGAGCCTCTCTTGTCTGTCTGCTCTGCTTGTGGCTTGGCTCAAGCCGGGGGCCGGGTGTGTACACACTGTGCTGTCACGGTTATGGCTCGTGGGCTTCGCACTGTTACCCTATGGGATGCAACCACATACCTAGGTGACCTGGGGTCCCCGTCTTTGCATAGAAACACCTGAGCAGCTCCTGCTGACCCACTTTGGTAAGTTACCAGTGGGATCCGTGTGTTCAGAACACCTGGGAAATACAGGCAAAGGGGGACACATCAGCACTAGTGGTACATTTTGGGAATTCCCATGTTGCTTTGTCAAAATCTTTCCTGGAAAGTATCACTATCATCTTTGAATGCTTTGCTAGGAAGCAAGACGTGATAAAAACCCAAGGGTTGAGGGAGACGGGGTGGAATCGGCAACAAGTGTCAGCAATATCAGGCCTGGCAAATGAGCCTCTGCCTGTCTGGCAGCACAAGGCCAGGTGCCCGCGTGCAGGGAGCCAGCCCTCTGCTAAGCATCCGAGGTGCATGCTCATTCAATTTTCACAATTCTGTGTGGTGAGAATCATTTTTACCTCCACTTTACAGAGGAGGGGAACTGAGGTTCTGAGGTGCTAACTGAGCAAAGTCAAGTTTATGGTAGTGTCAGGATCCCAGTTGCTGCCCAACCTGCTCCCACTGCCATCTCCCTGCCCACCTTCAGGGCTGTTCAAGAACAGCAAGGGAAGGTCCTAGAATCTGGCCTTGAGTTAGCTGCTTGTCTGGGAGCGATTTCCAAAGCGAATTGGGCTTTTACAACAGCACTTTTCTGATGGTGATAACAGCACAGTACACCCAGGAGGACAGGGGGAGACCCTGAATCCCACAGACCAATTCATCAACCCGGCTGGTGTGTGCTCAAGAGGGGAAGAAATGCCTGAAGCAATTCTTCTTGAAACCTTTCCAGGCCTTCAGCTATAAAAAAATCTGAACTAACATTCATTTAAAGCCACATCGCATTTATTTTCTGCATGCACATGTAATAAAAGTTCTGCCGAATCCAGACCAGCAAATTCCACCCTCTCAGCTGTGATGTGGGTGAAACCCAGGTCTGGCCCGAGTCCCGAGAAAGTCTCTGAGCCCAGGATCAGGTGAGCAGGAAGGGCAGGGTGACTTCTGGGAAAATAAGTGGCTAAAAATACCCGTGAGCCCGCTGTCAGGTGGAAATGGCTGCCAGCCTGTTGGCAGCAGTCGGCTTGGTTGGCGACTTCCTTGACCACATGGTGGCCTGCTTGTCCTCCCTCCCTGGTGCGCCTCCTCTCCCTAGCTGACTCCCCCTCTTCTCCACAAGCTCTCCATGTGGAGTGTCCCAGGGTGCAACCCCGGGTCCTCTGCTCTGTTCCCCTGTTCCCCAGGTGACTCACCCAGAGTCCTGGGCTTCCAGGCCATCAACACGCTGCCCCCTCTCCAGTTTATCTTTCCAGGCCCGGCTGTTCTCCGGAACTTGACTCATGGCTCTAACTGCTTGACTTTTCTGTGTGCCTAGTAGGTATCTCACACGAGGCAGCCTCAACCCTGCTCCCAATTACTATTTCAAACTAAAACTCCATTCCTGCTAAATACTAACTCCCATTTCCCCACCCCACTTTCTGGTGACCCCCACTCTACTTTGTGTTCCTATGATTTTACTCACTCTAGGGACCAGCTACAAGTGGAGTCATATTTGTTCCTTTGTAGCATTTATTTCACATAAGTCTACTGTCCTCAAGGTTCATTTGTATTGCAGCAGATGTCAGAATTTCCTTCCTTTTTAGGTTGAATAACGATTCATTGTACGTTAGAGACCACATATTCCTTATCTATGCACCCACCAACGGACAACTGTGTCGCTGCCTCCTTTGCTCTTGGGAATAATGCTGCTGGGACCCTGCGCCCACAGACATCTGCACGAGTCCCTGCTTTCAGTTCTTTTGGGCAAATACCTAGAAAAGGAGTGGCTGAATCATAGACGTTTCCTATTTTTACGTTTTTGAGGAAGCGCTATCCTGCAGCGGCCATCCCATTACACATTCTCATCAAGGTCAAACTGCGCTTTTGCTTTATCCTCCGAGCCTGCTCCACTTGAAGGCTTGAAGGTCATTCCCGCCCCAGTTCACAGCAACTCCATCCTCCCGGCTATGCTGCCACCAGCCTAGAGCAGCCCCCAATTCCTCTGTCTCACCCTCACATCCAAGCCATTTGGAAATCCTGGGGAGGTGGCAAACCTAAGAGGAGAGTGGGCACATTTTCAAGGTCATTGCTTGAGGCAATCATGGTCGCAGTTCCACCAGGACGCAGGGCATAGCTCTCACCTCCCTCTGGGTGACCTGAACCTCCACCCTCTGCCCACAAACGTCCCTTTGGGGAAATGGAGGGTGTGACCGCATCTCACTGCTCACCGTGCTCAAGGGCCTCGTCAACAAGCTTCTGGTACAAACTCAAGGCTCTCTGGTCAACAACCATGGTGACCTCCTTCTCCAAGGCCTGCAGGAAGGCAGCCAGAGCAAAGGCTCCAGGCGGGCCATCTGTCTCTTCCGGAGGCTCGTGTTTGAAATGTGTGGGGAAGCCGGTGGTGATGAGCACGGAGCGGGCATGGGACAGCGACAGAGAGGCCTTCAGCAGCTCGTCTTTACACAGTAGGTGCCCGATCCCCCGGTTGCCTAAATCAATCAAATGAAATAGAATCAAAATAACATAGAGACTCAAGCAAACAGTTTGGGTTTTGTTTGTTTCAGATGTGGATTTGAGGGATGTGGCAGAGACTGCTAATTGTTCACCAGAATACATTCCTTCCCCCATATTCAGTCCCCCACCTCAGTAGTAACCAGAGTTAAATGACTGGCCAGCTGCTCAGGTGTGGTTATGGGACTAGGTTCTCTCTACTCTGTGAAACTTTTCTAGGGCAGGGGAAGGGAATGTGAGTGGAATGATGTGTGCCACCTCTTGGCCAGACTATCCACCCCATGGCCCCTGAGACTGGGATATTGATAACTAGTGCCCCCTGGGGGTCACATGATGGATGGCAGAGCTGCTGGGTCACTGAGTGACTAGGTGGAGCTGATTCCCCTTTCTGTTTGAAACCAGGTGGGGAAAATCCACCTGGACAGGTGAGTGAGAGAGGGCACTTTGTGGGGGAAAAACATCTTGGGGCTTATTTGTTATAGCTTATTTGTTAGGGTTTAACAAACCCTAAATAACATGGGGACTATCAAGGGAGAAAGGTAAAGAGGAATGTTTTTTTAAATTATTTTTTTAAAGATTTATTTATTCATACAAGAACCGGGGTACAGGCCAGAGGTGGGGGGCGGTGAGAGGGTTCACCAGAGACAGAGCAGGGAACAGAACAGGCAGACTAAGTGAAATACACTGCTGAGGGGAGCAGTGGGTGAGTCAGGAGAGGTCTGCTGCGCCATGTGGGTTGCTCCCTGGTCTGGGATTGAACTCATGCTGCAGTGGCTGTGGAAAGATTCATAGGCTGCATCTTAACCCCTTGTGTCACCAGGGAGGCCCTAAAGAGGAATGTTTTAGTTGAGGACTCTCCAAAAGAAGACCCTAAGATGAAGGGTTGAGTGCAAGCATTTTAGCAGAAAGTGAGAGCAGAGACCATAAGTCAGAAGATGGAGGAAGTGGCATAGGAAGGGTTGGAAAGCTAAGAAACGATCAGAAAGAGTATGTGAGTGAGCAAGCTAACCCCAGAGATAACTGGGGCTCAGTCTTGCTTGAGTTCTTCTAAAAAACCATGTGGTACACACCTCAGGACTGTCCGGTGGGAGTATAGGGGTACAGTACTATGCATTTATGCACTGGCTCCTGTCCCCTGCCTGGTGAAAGTGCCCTCAGGGTGCCAGCTCCCTGGCTTTCCCCGCTGTGCCTGCTCTGGTGGAGGGGGCTCTGCAGGTACAAGAATGTCCTCAGGTGGAGAAGCTGAGAGACCGCAGCCCAAGGAGGGCCTGTTGTACTGAGAACCACCCACTGTAGCACAGGAGAACCCAGGGGTATGATGGGCAACCCTCAGCATCTGCTGTAGATGCTGCCAGTGGTTCTCCAGCTGCATGTGGATTCCTAACCCTGTTTGGATTCCTCCTTCCTATTGAGGAGGAGTTCCAGATTTAGCATTTGGAGACCTACATTCAAGTTCGGGACTTGGCACATGGAAATCGTGTGACTTGGCTTAGCGCCTGATTGCCCTGCACTTCAGTTTTCCTACACAGAACATGGGGTGGCCCAGGTGGAGGGAGGCTGTGGGCCACAGCTCTCACATCTGCTGGTGGGAGTGGAAACCACAGTTCTCGTCTGGAGGGGGATTCATACCTTAGATTTGTATTTTCCACTGGAGCCAGCAATGACTCTGGGAATTTATCCTAATAGAGAGACCATGGCATGGGCACAGGTGTGTGGTGAGGGGTTCACTGCAGCATCGTTTACAGCATTGAATGAGAGGATGTAACAAAATGGCGGGTCGCTTGTAAAATGAAATTCTTTGCAAGCACTAGAAAGGATGTTGTCAAAGACTAATGACATGGCAAGATATTCACAATATATTAAAAAATAAAGCAAGTGTCCTAAGATAGTATCACAGTATGATAGATGATGGATGGATGACAGAGGTAGTAGATGGTTAGAATGATAACATGAGAATACATGATACATATGCATAGGTTCAAAGCTGAAGGAAAGGACATTAAAGGTAAACCCCAAACTGTTAATTCTTGTTAATTATAGTTAATTGTGATAGGATTCTGGTGATTTTCATTGCTTCTTCACTTGCAAGTCTCTTTGGTGCTTCTCAATGAAGATAAGTGACTGTTGATTGAGGGGAGAAGCATAGCAATGCTTTTAAAGAAAAAAATAGGAATGTAACCTATTTTCATAGGATGTGGTGAGCACCAAAGGAGAGTGGAGGGGAGAGAACTTTGATAATGTTAAAGCTGTTGATACGTTAATATTAGTGTAAACATCAGCATCATCAACTTGCATCCCTATATCTCCAGGCGCTTAAAGCCAGCCAACACCCTCAACAGTGCCCTGTGCTTGTGCCCATTATTCTCATATCTGCGTATTTAATGAAGTAGGACTCAAAAGCATGTGCTGTTCTGGGGGGTAAAAAGGTGTCCCTTATAGATGCTACTGGCACCTCTCGACAGTCGTGACTGCCCTCCATGAGTCTCACGCTTCAAGCCTTGACACAAGCACTGAAGGGGGAGGGGGATGTTCTCCTACATCAGCAGTGGGTGCTCTGTGTCTGCAGTAAATTTTCTTTCAAGTTACTTTTTAATCTAATCTAAGGGCAGAGTTAATAATTCATCTTCCCTTATGACCCTTGTGCTGGGTGGGAGAGTCAGCCTGGGTAAGAATATGAAGGAGAAAGTATCGCAGATTTTTTGAAATTCCCCCAGGATATCAATTATGCAAGAGAGTCCACTGATACAGTCACAGGCTTTTGCCTGGATGTAGGCATATCTGCAAAGGTGGGCCTATATCCCATTGGACTGTGTGTTTGTGTGTAAAGGAAAATATATTCTCTGCAGAGCGAATGAATGGATAACTTAACATACAAAATGAGCATGAAGTATGTTTCACAGGAAGTTTTGCTGCTACAGACTCCCATGTCATTAGGGGACCTTTGCCCCCAGGCCCAGGGAGAGGGCATATCTTCTTAAGGCAGGTCTGTAAGGGCAGATTTGGGGTCACAGTGTGAATGGTCTGGCTGCCATGTGGCTGCTGATCACCTCGTGATCAGCCCTGTCTGGGTCCTGGGAATCTGGCCTCGCCCTCTGCTATCCCACAATCATCCATCCAGGTATCTGCATGGGAAATGCTCCCAGGGGTGGGGGCGGTGGTGAGGGGTTCAGCAGGAAGGCCACATCTGCCGTCTCCAGACAAGCAATGCACAAACGACATTTTAGAGTCTGGTCTAGAATCACAGCACAAGAGAAGGTGCAGGAACAGGAATGGGGCCTAAGCCAAGCGAGGCCAGAACATCCTCTGAGCGGCCCTTGGATGGATATTTAGCCTCAGATTCCAATTTATCCAGTGTTTATAGATCATGGGCCTTGAAGCAAGTATACATAAGTTCAGGTTCTGCCCCGACTATCTACTGAGTATGTGGAGTGGGGTGAGTTCCTTAACCCAGTATGTCTCATAGCTGTTAAACCACGTTAGCGGTAGTTGCCTCCCTGGGTCTTTGGGAGAATTTAACAAGATGAAATGTGTAAATATGTTTAGCACACACATGACCTACAATAAAGATCACTAGGTGAGAGTTACTCTTATTACCTATCACAAGCCTGAGAGGGAGGAATGACTGATATTCCTCCTGATACACTGTTTCGAAAACTTCAGAGGTGGAGGAGCTGTCAAGTCTGTACCCTAATTCTCGCCAGAGCCAGCAGATGGGCACATTTACCATGCACAACAGCGCCCTCTGCTGCCGTCTTTTGCTCCTGAATGAAGTTCAAAGCCCCTCAACCAGCTGTCTGCAAATCTAATTGAAAGCAGCACTGCCAGCGGATCCTATCAGCTCTGCCAGGGTTTAGAGCAATGCACAATTTTTACATGTCAGCCCCGGGGTCCTGCACCGCCCGAATCAACCAAAGCGCAGAAATCCTGTCCCCCCCAATCCAGCCTGCTGTCTGGTACCAAAAAAGATCTGCTCCACACCCAACCCCAGGACAAAGGCACAAAAGAGGGAGGTGAGGGACTTCATTAAATACATGGAAAACTTTATTTAAATGGTGGCAGTTGATGACCTAAGACCCAGACTCCCTTTTTTTTCTTCCTCTACTACCCTGATTTGGTTCAGGTGGCAACACGCTCCGCTAATAAGCTCACCACCCAGACTCCCTCACATGTATAGCCCTGAAAATTTTGAAAAATAAATAAAAATCATCTCTAATCCTACCACCATTGGCTCACCGCCATCAGTATTTTAAACATTAAACAAAATCATACTGTGGATTAATTTGCATGCTGCCTTTCCACTGTACATCACATCAGTGAGTAGATTCTCCAGGCTATTAAGGTGTGGATGCTCTGTGTCTTACCTGGGTCTATGCCAATTATAGCCTCCAGTTCTCGGATCTTCTGAATAGCTGGCGCTGAGGCGATGCTATAGTGCAAAGGATCTTGGGAAATGAGATGAACCTCTGGAAATCCCTCAGGGGCGAGACAGCTGGCCTCTGTATCCTTCAGGTCTGTCATAACCGTGCAACCCGGTGCACTAGTAAACGCCAGTGGGGTCTCTAAAATACAACAGGAGGGACTGAGTCGGGCCACTTCGTCAAACCCTGCCCACTCGCGTCTAGCCCGCTGTTGATGGCCAAGATGGCGCCGTGCATCAACTTATTTCCTGCTCTGAGTGATGGCACCAGCTCAGAACATGGCTCATGGCTGTTCCATTTAAGTGGGTGCCTCCATCTTTCAGGAAAGTCAAGATGAATTGAGCGTGGGGAAAGAAATAAGGTATAGCCACAGCTACAGGTAGGGCTTAGTCTTGGCCATCGAGTCATCCCATGGATCTCAGAAAGGACCGGCTGAACTTGGGAATGCATCCAGCCACCTTGCTTTGCTTTGCAGTAAATGTTAGACTTGCTAACAAATAGCTCTCTCTGAACATAGCTTCTATTTTTCTCAGCAATTACAACTTGCTTCCGTTAATGCTAATTTTGTTCTTCAAACAATTCTTTCCTGCTAGTTTCCGGGCAATGTGAGGCTCTCTAGACTTTCATTACAAACACACTTGACTTTGAGATGTGACTTTATCCTCTCTAAACCCATTACCTCATTGCTAAAATAGTGACAGTATCTCATGTAGTTGTCAAAACTTAATTGGAAAAGGCATGTAAAAGTATTTGTCAAAGTGCCTGGCCCCGAGTAAGCCCTCCATCAATGATGGCTGGCATCAGTGAGCCAGGCGTTCTGTCTCACTCATTCCTCTGTCCCTGCACTGGCCCATTAGTATTGACTACTTAGCAGACAGACTTTGCATCTCTTGCTTCCTCCAGAGCCAGCGTTCGTGGACACTCCAAGCCCATGGCTGTACGTGCCTAGAAGCGGGACCACAGTTTATCCATCAGTATCCCACATGGTGCCTGCACATAGTAGGTGCTTGATAAATGTAGGCGCGAATCAATCATATAACAATGCCTTGGACTTCACAGGAAACAGTAACATTTCTCAGATACACAGAAAGCCCAAGTTAGCCAACTCTGCAGGAGGAAAACCTACTGACGGAAGCCTAAAGCATTCAAACTTTTAGACAAATGTCGAAGGGGAACAACTGAGGACCGCGATGCCTGCAGTCATTATTGACTTTCTGTGTTTGGACAGAACCTACCATTGCTCACCGTAAAGTCAGGTGCACATCAGAACAGAGCATGATTGGGGTTGGGGCCAGGGGGTGCCCCATCAGCTGGGAGATGAGCAGCAAGTCATCTGTTGCTAATATATATTTATGTGTTAGAAGTTGAGCTTGATTTTTTTCAAGCAGAAAGATTCAGTGGCATCCCTGTTCAGTGATGTCATTTGTTCTCAGAGATGCTACTGCAAGTCAAAACTAAAGGTGTGGATACACTATACTGGTGTGGATGTGCGTACGCACGCCTGGCACATAGTAGGGACCCAATACTTTTATGTTAAAGGAATGCATAGAATCCCATGGATCTTGGTGTTTGTGCCCCATCATCCCGTTAGAGGTAATCTTTTCCGATCAGGAGGCCCTGCTGATAGCTAAACTCCTGGAATGATTTCAAAGTAAATTAAAGGAACACCAGATTCTATGTTTTACAATGCAAGTGTGGTTGACCTAGCCAGAATTTTCTAGTGTCTACTGGAACTGGGCTGCAACAGTTATTATTTGTAATGTTCTCATCCCATCCCCACCTTACTGTGAGCTGATTAGGGAGCCCTCCTGTGTCTCTTCATTGTAATATCATCCACAGCTTTTGGGGAAAAAAATGGAGAATCTTGCCTTCAAAAACTTGCAAATGCGTTGTGAAATGCGTTGTGTCATTTGACTACACCTTTGTTGTCCAAGTCCCACTAGCTTCCAAAATGCCTCAAAAGGCCAAGCTAAACATCAGTCCTTTTGTTAGAATGGGCTGTGAGGTCTTGCAGACAGAAATGTGTTTAATCAAGATGTATTTGAGCTGAAGGATAAGATGCCCTGATAAGGAGACCCAGCCCTGGAAAGGAAAGAAGGAAGAGAGCTCTGCACTGCGGGCTGCAGGCCGATGGCTCCTTTTGCGACTTGATTTCTTAAATCATTGCACCTGTAAGTCATGCTTTCAAGTGCCCCACCGGGTTCCAGCCCCGCAAGCCCGGACGTACTGCAGCTGCTGACGGCTTCGAGACTGGTCAGTGGAGAAGGCCAGAACACTGGCACGTCTCCGGGCTGACACGCCACGGGATCCCCATAGTCAGGTTTGGAAAGATCTTTGATTCCCAACAGTTCTGCAGACAGAAAGAGAAAGTGAATTCCGGGGGTCTTGTCTTGGCAGGTGCCTCCAGGTAGAACATGTTGAGAAGTTTAAACTTCTTTCCACAAGAGGATTGTAGTCACGGCATTGTGGTAAGAGACAACAGGGACTGAGAAGGAGGCAAAAAACAAATGGAAGCTTAACAACCTATAGCCCGCCCTGAGGGGTGTGGTTTCACAGCTGGGAATCTCACACCCTGCTGTGGTGACTGGGGGTGACTTGGGTCTCTCAATCCAGCACTTTCTTTGGATGGAGTGCTAACAAGCCAGCATCTGTGAGTTTATCTTTGTACAGATTGCATTATACAACACAGACCCACACTGTCAGAGACCACCACCCAATACTGGGAAAACACTCCAGCAGACACTTTGCTCTGCATGGGCCTGACATCGTCTTTCTGTGAGTTCAGTGGCACGTGCTGACTGTGTTTTTACAGAATGCCACATTTTGTCTGACCTTATTTTTTTACACGAGCTCACTTACACTCAGCTCTGACTCCCACCTGAGGCCCAATCCCAAGCTCTCACCTCATCTTCTGAAGGCCTCGGAGAGGCCAGGGCAGCTTTCAGGTTTTTGCCCTTCACTCAGAGTGAATGCACCCAGGTCCCTGCCCAAATAGGTTACCGAATGGTAGGCTGGATTAGAGGTTGCTCTGGGTCAGACCTCCGTACAAACAGCCCTGCTGCCCTTCTGCCACCTGCTTCACCACCCCAGACTCACAGAAACAATGGGTGAATCTCGATATTTATCCAAAGGCATCTGCTTTATGCCTGAGGGATGCCTGTAAACACAGCCTTAATACCGCTATGGAGTCAACCTTGTCCAGGACACCCTAGGTTCCCCTGGGCGAGGCTACACAAGTGGTGGGAGCTCAGGAACACAGCAAGTTCCCGTCTTCTCAAGCCAAAGTGCAAGCACAGCTATGGACACTGACCTGGGTCGCCCATGTGAATGGGTGGTCCGAGCTCAGCCTGCACAGAGCAACTGGCCTGCACCAGCCTTTCCAGCTTGTCCTTGGGAATGGGCCTCATTGTGACCACCAGGGGGCAGCCAAAGCCAGCCACAGAGGCACAAGGCACTGTCGTCTGACAAGAAATCAAGGGAAAAAAGTAAAAAAACAGAATTAGCACAGATTGAAGCATAAGCACCCAGAACTCAAGGCAGTGAACGAAATAGGAGGTTCAAGTAGATATTATAAAAATATTGCGTCTGCTCTCACATGACTGGGAGATGAAGAAGTTTGCTGGTAACCATTGTTCTAAAACAGAGAATGCAGTTTGTTGCCTGCACTTGAAATGGAAGGAGATGCTGAATCTCAGCTTGAAGTTATGGAAGTAAAAATGCTATTTTTCCCCTCATGCAATTTCATGGACCATCTGAATTTTTCCCTGTCACTTTATAGACCTCAAGGTGAGGCACATTGTGAGAGGGGCCTAAGGGAACAGGTATCAGGGTCCCCTCTGCCTTGGGAGTCCACACAAGGTCTGGAGGCCAGACCCCACTCACCCTGCCTCAGGCCTCCAGCCTCCCCAGAAGATGCCCAGAATGGCTTGTGTGACTTTCACTGGCCTTGTTGTCTTTTCCCTGATGGGTTTCTGGTCCCTGCAGTAGGGCTTAGGAAAGATTTAGGAGCTGGCCAGGACAGCAATCTCCTGGGACAGTCTTGGTGGTTGCCTGAAGGACTTGCTGTTAGCACCCAGCAGCAGGAGTGCAGTGGGGGAGCTGTGGGAGCACATGTCAGGGCCACTCACAGGAGACAGGCTGTGCTCCCCATTCTGAGGGCCCTTCAGCCCCTCAGAGCTGCTAACCAAATCCAAGATGGCTGCCTGGCCATTTCTCCGAGGAGCCATCACACAGAGGTGGTTTGGCTGCTGCTGGGGACAGTGCCGTGTCAGGGAACATGACTCTGCTGAGCACTCACTGTGAACAGTGACAATTGTTACAAAGTCCCATTTGAGCCTCATGCCTCCGTGATGGACTTTGGGCAGAGAGGGGCCTGAGTACCTGGTTCCAAGCTGCCTCTGGGGCTTGGGCAAATTCTCACTTTACTCTGGTTTCGGTTTCCTCATTTAAAATGACGCTGTGCAAACCAGCTCTTACCTGCCACTAAAGACTGTGTGTTCCTGACCGGACCCTGCCCTGGGTCCAACTCCCAACCCCGAAACTTGAACTAACCTGCTTAGGCTGATTTTTACATAAGACAAGTGGCACACACTGCAGGAGCTTGTGTTTCCTCAGAGGCAGCCTGGGTCTTCCCTCAGGAGCCTACACCCGAGCACATTTTAATAAATGTTCAGGAGCCCTGGATGAAATCTCTAATCTGAGTCCTCTGTAAAAGACCTGAAGGGGCCACTGATACAGGCCCACACGGTAAATTCTCAAACTTTGAAGAAATGTTCTGGAAGGGGCCAGTGGAATGAGGGGTCAGTGTGGCTGGAATAAAACTTCAGAGACAGCCCCAAACAGCGGCATATCCCAAGAAGGGCTGGCCACCTCCAGCCAAGAATGTGACCTGGCATTCCCGACACAGCCATAACCCGGCAGCTGATGGCCCAGCCAAGGTTCTGCCACAAATCCCTGGGCACTGACCCCGCCAGGCACATTCTCTGTGATGCCAGGGGGCCGGGGACCATTTTCAGAAATCTTGCCGAGACTCCCTAAGAAAATGGAGCTGGACAAATTTGAATCTGGTTTACACTACCACAAAGAGCTGTGACACTCTCAAGTTCACACTGGCTGCCCACATGGGGTCTGGAGGTGGGCAGGAGAGAGGCTGGTGGTCCCATTTTCCAGGGGAAACAAGCTCAGAGAGGTTAACTGCTTATCCCAGATAGCACAACCAGGAAGTGGCTAACCTGGGTCCAGGGCCGCTGTTCTCCCCACCACAGAGGATTACAAGTCAATCACACTTTCAACTCAGTCTGCCCTGTGGATCGTGTCCCTACCTTGTAAGCACCTGCGTGGCTATGACCTGCTGGGTCTCTTCTGGGGAGCCCCGCCTTCTCCAAGACCGCTTCTAGGGAGACGCCGCAACCCAGGACAAAGGCCACCATGTCCTTCAGCTGCTCCGAGTTCTCCTCCAGGGACATCAGGCTGCCTGTGCAGGCACCAGACTCGTACTTCTGGAACTGGGGACAACCCATCCTGGGGACAAGGGAAAACTCACAGACCCCAGTGTCAACATGACCCCTGATGGTGCATATTTTTAAAGGGCATGGGAAGGCACTACGGAGTCTAAGCAGGAGTCACGTGATTAGATGGTCACTCCAGAAGGAGGGGCTTGATGGGGTGAAGGGAGGAGAGGGTGAGGGGCCAAGGAGACCAGTTGTGATGTCTTAAGAACCCGGAGACAGAGGAGCCAGGTGGCAGGAGGAATGTGGGTTGCCGGGAGCCTTATTGTGGAAGCAGAACCAGCAAAGCCATGTATGGGGCGTGTTATTTTCTAGACGCCTGGGAGGACATGCTCCATGTTAACATGTCTGCGGCTGGGTGTGGGAAACTCAAGCATTTTTACTGTCTTCTTCCTCCTCTGCAGGCAGGTCTCTGGTTGGGTGAGGCAGTGCCCAATGGCAGTGCCCATGGGATTTCTCTGGGGCTGGACTTTCCTGCTGAGCCTAATGATTTTCCCCAGGGCTGGAGCAGGGGCAGAGGAGGGAGGGCAGACTCTGCCTAAGCAAGACTCCTGTGAGGCTCTGTGCAATTTACCTGGAGTCTGGGGCGGGCACTGTCCACTTGCCCGGCTGGCTTCGGCCCAGCAGGGGCAGAGGGCCACGGTTGGCCTGGCAAAAGCGTTCAAAGTCCGGAGCAAGAGACTTGTGCAGGATGACCACGCTGGCGGCTCGGAGACCTGGTTTGGTGGGAGAAGGGACAGCAGCACAGTAAGGGCCTTCTGGTTAAGTCCTTTTATGCTCAAAAAAGTTGTTTTAAACTAGGGAGGGTTGGTGGGTTACACTTTGAAAGAAAAAACTAATAAAAGAATGGGGAGCTTTGCCCACCATATAATAAATATGTATTTTAATGCTTGATTTAACTAATTTGAAACCAATTTTGATGCTTCTTCTGATTTCACATTGGAAAAATAAAGAACTGTTTATTTTATATATTTTTAGCTCAATATTCTTTAATTATGAACCAAAAAGTTATAGTGATTACACACCTAGATTACCTCTGAATCAAATTGCTTGTTCATTGAAATGGGTGCTTTTAAATAGCCACTTGATGAGAAAACTTGTTTTATATATTTTGGTTGGAACTTGTATGGGCAACATACTCCTTCTACCTCTAAAAATTTCAAGTTGAAATGCATAAAAAGTACTTTTCAAAAAGTTGAATGTAAATGATTAAGGTTCCTGTGGTGTTGGAAGTGAGGACAGTGGCCACCCTTGGGGATGGTGGTGAGTAGAAGAGTCGTGAGGAAGTTTGTGGGGTACTGATAATGTTCTGTTTAAAATCACCCACAATTTCTGTTTCTTGACCTGGTGCTGCTTCTATGGCATTTTCATTTTGTGGAAATCCATATAACCATGCACTGAGTTGTGTTTTTCTCTCTGTGTGTATATTATACTCCAACAAAAGGTTAAATTGAAAAGACTCTACAAACACAGAAACCTTAATCGTTTACATTCAACTCCACATGATAGAATCATACAGTGTGTAATTTTTGAATCTTGTGTGTGATTTTTTGAATCTTGCTTCCTTCACTCAATATGTTTGGCCTCCAACAACTAGTGCTCGTGAGGCTGCGGAGAAAGAGATGCCCTCTCACACTGGTGTTGGGATGCAAATGGGCACAGCCGTCATAGAAGGCTTTACCTTTAAAAAATGGAAACTGGAATTACCCCATGACCCAGCAATCCTACTCTTGGGCATCATCCCAAAGAATGGAACCATCAACTCAAGAAGTTATATGCGTTACAATGTCCACTGCAGTGTTATTTAGATGGTCAGGAATGGGAAGAACCTAGGTGCCCACTGAGAGAGGATTGGCTCAAGATGCATTCACCCAGGGGATACTACTGACACTGAGGAAAGATGAAATGTTGCCATTTACAGCAAAATGGAAGGAGCTGGAGGCAATGATGTGCAGTAAAGCAAGTGAGAAAGACGGCACTGGATACCTTACATAGCAGATGACCTGTCAAAACAAAATACTTATAAGAACTAGTGTATGCTAATAAACGAAGTAAGGTTTCTGAGGCTGGGCTGGGGGAGGGCTAAGGGAGCAAGAGGAATGGTAATGGGGAAAACACAGAAACAAATGAAAACCGTATGTTTGGGAGGGTCACCCATACTGTGTTTAAGAAGAGATTGCTCATCGCCGCCATGTATTAGCCCAAACCATTGGAAGTAGACATTTGGGAAGCTTCCAGTTTGGGTTATTTCAAAGGGTGCTGCCACGTGCATCTGGCTCATGCACTTTGCCGGGAAGGGGGCATGCATTGTGTATTAGTTTGGCACACCCACACGTGGGCTGGGAGGATGTGGACATAATTGGCTTGAGGAGGTCCTGCTAAGCAGTTTCCAATGTGGTTGTCCTAACTTCTGTTCCTGACTGTGCTTTGGGTTCTCAATTACTCCTTTCTAGTACACGGGATTGCCTGTCTCTTTACACGAGCTGCTCTGGCAGATGGGAAGTGGCATCGAATGTGGTTGAACTGGTATCTGCTTTCTGAGCTCTTGATGTTCTGGTAAGCAGTGGCCAACCTGGGTTAAGCTGCTGTGGCCAGCCCATCTAGTATGTAATCGTGGTGGTGGACTGTTACCGTGGTGGCTCTATGAAGCATGTTTTCCTATAAAGATGCTTCTCAGTATTCATATCTCAGGTGGCCCCTTCCCCATGGGCCCTGGCTGGGCCATCTGCCTTGCTTGGCCAGGGGGATGTTAAGAGGTGTGATGACCTCTGAGGCTTGATAGGTGCTGTTGCATTAGGGCTCATGCTCTTGGGACCGTCCATGTTACAAAGTCTATGTAAAGAGGTTTGGCCAACATGGCTGGAGAGGCTTCAGAGAGAGAGACATGTCTGGACAGCCCAATTGTTGCAGCCATTCCAGTGGACTCTCTGCACCTAAGAGGAAGAAGCCATCTGCTGGATGTCTAGTCCCAGCAGACACAGGGTAGAGCAGAAGAACCACCTGCTGAGTCCAGCCTTGGCTACAGAATTATGAGAATTATGGATTCAGCCACTGAGTCTGGGGGTGCTTAGTCTGCAACAACTGATAACTGTGGGCTCACAGAGAGTGCCAGAGCCTCGTGTGTCAGTGAACAGGGCAATGTTTTGCTCTAGGACTTTCAACTGTGCTTCTGGCTTCCTCTTTGGGGTCCACACCAGAACCTGTTACCACTCAGGGTCAGTGACAATTTTGATATGTTTTCTCTTGCCTTTTAGAGCCCACGTTATCATTCCTGGAGGCAGCGGGGAGATAGTATCATCCAGAAAATAAGGCCAGTCCAAATAACGAGACGTGGTCTGCATCAAAACCAGACGGACATGCAGTGCAACTGGGGACACTTATCCCAGCAGGGAACTGTCTTCATCACCTGATCTCATTGGCAGTTCTGCCTGTGGAGACTTGGCCAAGCAGAACTGGTGGGACTGGACCAGCCTGGCCCAATTGCCAGTTCCTCCTGGGAAGTTTAGTAGTGACCAGAGCAAATATTCTGCTTGTACTTTCTGTCTCCCAAGCAGAAGCTAGAAGCCTCAGAAATTCCTGTGGCTGGTATTTTCAGGGAGTTCGTTTATGTATTTGTTTTTAAACATGCACCACCACTCACCCCCGGCTACGCTGGACATGTTCCTCATGTTTGTTTTCTTCTGTAGAATCAAACTTCTCAAGGCAGAGGGAAGGCAGGCCCTCAGGTGGGGTGTGAAGGTCATCAGGCTGTCCTTGAATGGACCTCAGAGAAGCTGGTGAAGGGATGAAGGGGAATAAATTAAAGGGCACAGCTTCCTTGAAGGTGCCAAGTCAGCACCAGACCAGCTATCATCCTGCCGTTCCCAGTCCTGCCCTGGGGTGGGCATGTAATGCGCAGCACATTCTCCCCCACCCCTTTGTAACTCAGTTTCCAGTGCGGAATTCCCAACACTTGAAGCTCTTTGCTTATGCCCTTCCCCTGGCTTGAACTGTCCCCCTTCCTTGCTGCCTTGTCTCCACCCCCCCACCCCCAGGCCTTTCCATTGCTCAGAACAGGTTCAGAATCTCCTGCCTCTTTGAAGTGGCCAGCAGGCTCTCACTGGCTGGCCAGGCCTCCTTGCTCCCAGAGTTCTTTGAGCCACTGATTTTGACCAGGTGTTGTACTGGACTCTGCACCTCCTTTCTCTCTCTCCTGGGGAAAGCCCGAGTGTCCAGGGGGTAGGGGCACATCTTAGGCCTTGTCCACAGGCCCCAGAGTGCTTACTACAGTCTGAAATCATGCAGTACATACTGAACTGTTTAGGATCAGATGAACAAATTGTTAAAAGTAAGCCCCACGTGCAATCACAAATGAACCAGCAGACCAGATTTTTTGTCTGCATGTGACTCCTGTTATTCAGATTCAGGTCCCTGAAAGGTAGAGATTCTGCTTCTCTATTGTGCCTTTCTACCCCCACCCCCACTCCAGGCATAGTGCCTCACACAGATTTTGGGTGAATGAGTAAATATTGTAGACTTTAAAATATGGCATGGTCTCAAAGCTCTGCTACTAGGCAAAACCAAGGGTGCCCAGGGAACCCAAAGTGTAAAGGGGAAAGACCTGTGATACCCATTTGCAGGGCCTGTGACCACTGTGCACAGGGAGGCAAAGCAACCAAGCTCCAGTGAACCTGGAGATTTTCATTGGTGAAGGGCCCAAAGGGAATGGAGAGGAAGAAGAGGAGCAGGAGAGAGAAGGATTTCAAAATACGAACGTGGGCCTCCCTGGTGGTGCAGGGGTTAAAGACACAGCACTATCAAGCTGTCGCAGATCCCTAGTTGGCTGGGGAGCTAACCCACATGGTGCAGCAGACTTCTCCTGTCTCGCCCGCTGCTCCTCTCAGCAGTGTGTTTCACTAGATCTGCCTGTTCTGCTACCCACTATCTCTGGTAAATCCTCTCAACTGCGCCCACCCCCCCCCCCCCCCCCGCTACGTCTGGCTTACATCCCAGTTCTTGTATACATAAATAAATAAATCTTAAAAAAAAAATCCAAAATACAAATGCCAGGTCAAAATCTGAAATCAGCCATCCCCTTGTAAGCAAACACGGTCAGCCAAACAGGCAGTCAAACTGCCCAAAGCAGAGTGGCCAGGAGGAGGAATACAAGCAACCTTCCTGCAGGAAACACAAGAGAGAGGTTGTGCAGGGCCCAAGAACCTGGGAGAGAAGAGAGAACCAAGTTCAAAGAGTACCATCCAAGCTGAATCCACCACAAGGCGGCTGCCATAGTCTCAAGAGAGTGGGCTCGTGCTGCCTGCCAGAGCTGAAGCCAGGGAAGATCCACAGGTGGGAGCTGCTGAAAGGTCAAGAATGGAGCCTGTGCAGAGGGAGTCCCCGCCCCTCTGGGGCTGTCTTATAAAGACTATGCTAGGCTACTTGCGTCTAAGCTTGTGCTTTGGTGTCAGCTGTCTCTGTTCCAGAAGTCAGGGAGTGGAGCGGAGACTGAGCTCTCTTACAGCTCCAGGAAATTGCTCAGGAAGGAGACCTATTATATGCTGACTTCTTAAACTCAAGAGGTTCCCAGGTGTCGGCAAAATCTAAGGTTCAAGAGTCACGTATGTTGGCCTCCAAGGCATAGCCCTTATCTTCATCTAAACATACCATGTGCCTAGCTTAGTGCCAAGCACAGAAGTAGTTCAATAAGTTTGTTGAGTGACTGACTGACAGCACAGTGGATGACAGCACCACTAAAGGGAAGTGTCCACAGTGAATGCTATGGACAAGCCTGATTTTCCACAACTCCTTTCCTCTTTAAAGAGTTTCCAAAACAAAAATGCACAAGTCAACTCTAACCTTCCAGACAGAGAAACAAGTAAGCCCCATGCCAATTTAATGAAGAATTAAATGTGGAAAACCTCTAACAAACTACATTTTTAAAGTACTGCCCTGGAAGGGGAGAGGTGTATTTAAAACTGATAGTAAGTGTTTAAAGTAGATCAGTTAAAATTATCACCATATTATGGAGTAGCAAAATTATATGTTTACCTTGTAAAAATAATAGATCTTCAGGGAAACTGTTATTGGCCAATGAATTAAATTCACTCTAAGATAAAAAGTAAATAAGTAAATAAATGAATGAATGAATGAATAAATAAATAAATAACACTGACAGCAAGTTCTTTACTAACTACAGAAACAAAGTGGCCCCTGTAGGCAAAGGAGAGAATGGGGTCCTGAGGGCTGGGGTGGGGATGCTGGGAAGGTCAGATGAGATTGGATTCTATCCCCCTGTTGAAGGTGCTGGTGCTTAAAGCACCTGCTCTGGCAGTCACGTCTGTGCCTGCCTGCTGGACTAGGAATCCCTGAGCCTGGCAGTACTGCTCTTGGCCAAACAGCCAAGGCAATCAGGTCCTGAATGTCTGTGGCCCTCAGGGTCACTGCAGAGGGCTTAGCACTTCAGTCAGCCACTCGGCAAAGACAGAAGAGAGAATCATGCCATAAACACATGGGCACAGTGGCCAGACAGCTCTGATAATTCATATGCCGAAAGGTGAATGGACTTGACCGCAAACTCACTAAAATGAGAGACCCTTGAGTACTTGTTAGCCACACCTCCCACTCCCAAATACTCTCTAAGGCAGCAGGTACAAGCCGGGTGCTGTTATGCAAATATATTATAGCCCAAAGATGGAAATCTGAGAATGGTTACCTTTTTTTCCCCTTTATTTATTTATAGTTTTAATATAAATTTAAGTGGATCGAGGTCATTCCTGTAATAATTCTGCTTTCCTGACCTGGAGAAAAGGAGTAGCTAGAAATCCTTCCTTGTGAAATGCATGCTGGGAGTGTGCCAGGTATCTGGATTCCTCCCCCACTCCACCCTGTGCATGCTGGGAGGGAAAGAAGACTAAGAATGTCAGCCTTACAGAGTCCTCCACCTGAAGACAGAGGCCACATAGAGCATGGAATACATGCTCACGGACTCCTGCCAAAGGAATGCCCTCACTATACCAACAGGAGTATGCTCACTTGCATAAATAAATGATAGCAGCTACCACCATTTATGGAAACCCTCTGAGTGTCAGGCACAGAGGAAGGCCATTCACCCAAATAGATTTATAATGACTGGTTCCTTACCACAATCCCACAAATTGTTAATCCCATTATAGGTCGGGTAACTGGGGCTCAAGGAAATTAAAGAGGTTATCTAAAGACAGTTCTTTGCAAAAAGAAAAAAGAAGTTACCTAAAATCCTATGATGAGTAAGCCCAACTCCAAAAGCATTTAAATTCATGCTTGATCAATATCTACCTTTCAATATCTCTGTATCTACATGTCCATGCATCCATCCATCCATGCATCCATCCATCCATGCATCCATCCATCCATCCATTCATCCATCCATCCATCTTTCAGTATTAGCAGGAACTATATCCTCAGGGTATCTTAGAAATAGAGGGACCTTCCCCACTATTCTCAAAGGTGATTCTGGGGCCAGTATCTCTTAAGTCCATGTTTCTTTGGCTACTGGATCCTGAAAGTCTCAGGATTTTCATCAGGACTTCTGGTGAACTCACTGAATGGCCCTGGCATCTCATTGCCCAGCGAGGTATGACTCTACATATGAGATAAGATGGGATCCAATCCCTGAGCCTTGGTCAAGACCCCAAGAACTCACCTTTCTGCTTGCTATACAGCCTCTCTTTTCTCTTTAGAGCATAATAAACTATCAAACCCACAAATATCATTTCCTGGCATCAAATACACTGAAGAGGCAGCTCCAGAGAAGCAATTCCTTAACAGGAGCTAACACACCCCAAACCCCAGTATAAAATTAGCTCACGAATGCCTATCACAGATGACCGAAATTTCACCATTAGAAAGTCATTCCTCTGCGTTACCCGAGCAATCCAGTGCTAGGACTGTATCTTTGAAACATGCTTGGTGGGTTGAATGAGGTGCACATATGGCAGCACTGTTCACAGGAGAGACTGCTAAGGAAGAGCCCCCTTCCTGCCCCCATTTCTGCCTCTAAAGCATTCTTCCTGCCATTCCCATCTCTCCCCCATCAGGATGCCCTCTCCCAGCCTCTGATACACAATGGGATACTACTCAGTGATAAAGAAGATGAACTCTTGCCATTGACAACAGCATGGATGGAACTGAAGAGCTGGTGCTACATGAAGTCAGTCAGAAGGAGAAAGGCAAATGTCACACGGTTTCACCTACTGTGGGTTATAATGAAACAAAACAAAGTGTCAGAAAAAACCAAAGCAGTAACAAACCCTAAAAATCTGTCTGTAGAATTAAGGTTACCAGAGAGGAGAGGGTGGGTGGAGAGCAGATGGGGGGTTCTCAGCAGACCGCGGTGGAGACTAAGGTCTCCTTAAAGGTGGGTATGGTGACATTCTCTGAAGAAGTATGATCCTATATCCCTAAATCATATCCAGGGTCAAAACGAATGTTATGTCAAGATCTATCTATCTATCTATCTATCTATCTATCTATCTATCTATCTATCTATCTATCTATCTATCTCTTCCCCAAATATTGCTTGGGAGTGCACTTAGAATTATTTTGTACTAAAAATTATTCATTAAATTTATGCATTAAATTCAGTGCACTAAAGTTTTTAAAAAACAAACTTTCCAGTTTCCATATCCCAGCCTCTCCTAGTCTTCATCCTCAAGCCTCTCCCTCCCTTGCCAACTCCATGTGGCCTGGCTCACCTGCTGGCCTGCCCCCCAAACCTTAAGGTTGCAGACCCTCCCTCACATATGCCATCATACCA